AGATATGAGGACAAGAGGAAATGATGGTAGCTAAAAAAAAAAAAAAAAAAAAAAAAGCAGCAGCCTTTGCAATTTGCTAATTGCGTCCATTCAAATTGACTTCGATTCAGTCGTGATTGATCATGCAGCAGTAGTTGCCACCACAATCAATTGCAAAGGATACAATTATTTCAGTATGTAGATATTAGGGATGTAACAATAACCAAAATATTGTGATACTGTATCGTCAAAACTCTCACAATAATACAGTGGGCCATCACAATATATCCAGTTACAAGTCTCTCTACTTAAATTTATAGTTATAGTGCAACAATATAGCTAAAAACAGAGAGAACTTGCTTCATTTGATTCTTGCTTCGTTTCAGTGTCGATTACTAGTACATGAAGTAATAACTGTTTTAACCACTATTAAATCTTAATTCTTTGGATTATCACAGAACCAAAAGCTTGTCAAAGCAGTTTAAAAGAAAAAGGTAGCATGTTCACAGTATTTTTAGCCTCCACAAAATATCAGAATAAATATCGTACAGAGAGATTTGGATATCGTTATATCCCTAGTCTTGCCTTTTTTGTAGAAATTTGTTGTTGTGCCTCTAGTTTAGACCTCTACAAATGTGTTGAAATGCAAAAGATTTTTGTATTAGTTTACAAGTTCATATTTCAGTCTTCTCTCAAATGTGAAAGCTTCTGGAGTCCTTTACCGTGCACACTCAGAACTGAATTCTACTTATTAAACATATATGCCATATCCAGTGGTGGAAGGTGATGATGTACAAAAGTACAATACTTAAAATACAATTTTTAGGTATCTGAACTTAAGTACATGTTACAAAGGATACTTTACTTTTACTTCACTACATTTGACAGCAGATATCTGTACTTTAAACTCTACTACATTTTATGAGAAAAGTAAAAAGTACTTTTGTTTATAGTTTGAGACCTGCTGAAAGGGTTTTAATTTGAGTTAACATCCCAACTTTGAGCTAAAGGTTTAATATCATACTGTGAAACTTCCCAGGCAAAGCAATAACATCTCCATGGAGCATTTGATGGACCCTCCACCAGAAAAGTTACACAATGCACAACAAATCTGAGTACTTCATCCACCCCTGCCCACATCTAATCTCTTCTAACCCCTTCTAACCCCAGAATTGTGCAGCCCTAATCAGTGGTACAATAACAGTGGTACAGTGTGTTATGTTTGCATGTCAGTTGGTGGGTCACGACTGAAAATGGGGTTATGAAGTGTAAATGAGTTACAAACCCTATCAGTGTTTGCAAACACTGCTCATGGCCATTGGGTCATTTGATTAACAGACTGTGCTTGCCAAATGCATGAGTAATACTACAAGAAAAATTATGACTAATTTTGTATTTATTCATAACCTTAGATATTTGCAAACTATTGGCCATGTGCAGATTTTTCCCCCACAAACTTGAAAAAAAAAGCATTATTTGTTTATTGTTGTATTTTCAATATTTTCAGTAGTTAAATGTAATCATGTTATTGTCATTAGTCAACAGCACAACAAAGGGTTAATTAAAAAAAATATAACTTCTAGAGACTGTTGAATAATTGAAATCTGCATAATACCATGGGTCTTCACAATGTATCGAATAACAAGTTTCTTTGCTTAAATTCATTATCATGCAAAAACAGCTAAAAACAGAGAGAACTATATATACCATGATGTGTTTCTGTTTCAGTTCAATCTCCATGATGAAATAACTGTTTTAAAGCACTTTTAAATGTTATTAATTATTTGTATTACAATGGACAAGTGGCATAATCACAATTTTGTATGCTTTTGTATATTAGCCTCCACAAAATATCGTACCATGAGATTCATATCGCGAAAACATCGTATCGAGGGATTTGGATATCCCTATTATGAAGTAGTATTACTGTTGTATTTTTTATATTTTCTTTGGTTAAATGTCGCGTTAAGGTCATTACTTAGGTCACTGGTGATTAGCCTCTCTTATGCGGTTTTAAACGTTTGGGAAAGCTAAAAAAGAAAAAAAAAAGAGATAAATCCACATTGCCAGTCCAAATCACAGTACAGGCTAGTTACAAAAAAGAAGGATATCTGGCATAAACATTTGCCACATCGCCAGTCTATTACCACACAATTATAAAGATATATTCATACAAAAACAGGCCTAAATATTTAAAAAGTCTAAGTGACCGACAAAGCAGATAAAAGAGTTTGAATATAGTGGGGTTTAATAGCATCCTTATGTGGAAGCCTACACCAAGTCGAGTAATGTTGACACTGCAGTAAGTGACCTAGATTCAGAAACCTTTAAAATCTGCAGCTTTGATTCTATTGGCTCCAAAAAAAATCATAGCATTTTTTTCAGTTCTTTACAACCTTGAGCGCCCATGGGAACCTGCTGTGAAGTCTGTAGCCCGTGTTGATTTATGGGTGATACAAATAAAACATGATGTCCTGTACAGTGGGCAAAGGTAAACAGCTCAGAGCCATGTTAAAGTCCAGACCAGGTCACACTGCTTCCCTGTGGGTTTACTGCTCATTATACAATACAATAAACAATACTCAATATAATATCAAATACTATCCTCGCAATCCAGTACACATGACATGACTGAGTCAATACACACATGTCACTACTCCAGTGTGTTAATTGACCCATAGGTTTACACACAGGAAGAAAAAAGCTCTATAAAAAAGGACTAATTTTGCACTTCTCATCTTACTCTTATGCTCTGGTGAACATACTGTAAGTAATCTAGACTGGAGGGTGAGTTTGATAAGTAAGAGTTGACAGAAGGGTGAAGGACAGATTTACCAACTAGTGTGCACAGTTTTTGCTGGGTATTTATGGTTGGAAATACAACTCAATGTGCATTTGAAATTCAGTTATCCCAATCAATAATATAGTATGTCCATTTCTGATAGTAGTTTAGAAGGGTTGAACAACTAAAATCAATTAAACTGCAATTGGACCAACTGCTCACTGATGTCAAAGGTAAAAACAACCTTTTTTATTCTTAAAAAACACACACACATACACAAGGGCTCAGGGATTTTGCATGAAAATAAAATTGTGAATTTTTTCCCATTTCACAAATTTGAAATAAAAATGTTCTGCAAACTCCAGAAAAAGGTAAAAACTGAAAAAATTGTATTCAGAGATAAGATTTAATCCATTTGCCACTGGGGAAATCTTTTATGAATGAGATAAAGCAAACTATTTCATTAAACCTGCAGCCCCAACATGTAATTTGAAGTCACTGATTTCAAAGCATCACAGCTGCAAGGTCCTGTGCCAAACTCTGCTCCTGTGACCGCAGTGAGAGGCATTTCTTCTATTTTCAGTGTAACTTCCAATGCAAGAATGTGGGGAAAAGTAAAATTGACTTTCTTCCAAACTAATCGATTTGGACTTTAAATTCATTTAACTGATTTAATCTATTTTTTGCCCAGTCCTAACACACGCAGACGCACACAGACGCAGACGCACACGCCCACACACACACACACACATAAGTATTAAAGTAAACTAATAGATTATGCACATGCATTTCAGAACATATTTGCAGGGGTCTAAAATCTATAAGGTTAAGTAAAAGTTTAGTAAATTTCTTTTTAAAAATAATTCAATTTCATGAGGAAAATTAGTACAAAATCTCCTAATGCATGCCCCAGTCTTATCTAGTGCTAATGAAATGGCCTGAATCGTCACATTCTCACATCAGACAGAGTACGTGTGGATCAGAGTGGTGTTGTTTGGGTCTGGGGGAGGAGGCTGCAGCGGAGCAGTGTAATCTCATCTCTGTCTCAAAACCACGTCCGTCACACTGGCCTCCAAAGGCATTGATCCCAAAACACCCAAATCCCAAAGCAGCACTTCTCCCCATCAAACTAATTTAATCAGTTACACGACCTCACAACTCCTCTACTGTCAGTGGCGTACAGTTGAGGTCAAATAATAAAAAATTGTTCTACAGTGTGTTTCGTGGTTGTTACAAGTACTGAAAAATATTCAAAACATTTTCCGTTTGCCAATTGTGATTTTGTGGACATTTAGAAAGTTTGCTAAAATCATTTTTATTAACACATGTGTCTGATTCATAGTTTGGAGGCAAAAAACAGGATGGATTTAAAACCTTCTCTTATCTTGTTTTATCTAGTACTCATGCATTATATTTAAGGTCTAAAAAGTCAGTCTCTGTCCCTATTTTCTTGTTTACATTCATTCTACTGAGCGCAATGCTGACACTGCACCTTCTTTGGTTAAATAAATGATTTAAGAAAGCTTTAAAAGCTTTGCATCACAATTTTCACTTAGAGCAAATATAAAGAGCACAAATACAAAACAATGTAATATGTTATGCTCTTTTGCATAATCTTATAGAGAGTTCAGTCCCCCACAATTCTACTGCACACATAAATTCCAAGGTGTTTTGAACATTGCAGAACAAATAAATAAACACAGATGAATGTACCGCTTGTTCCTAAACATAATTAGTCTGTAATAGGCTTTGTCAAATACCTGGGCAACACAACATAATGCTAGCAAACAAACAGAATGGCTAAAGAGCAGCATGTACTGTTGTCATTGTAACTGTACAATTAAATAATTAAAATGAATCATCTTTTCACACTGCCTCTGGGTGTAGTCTAGAATAAGAGACTTTGCAAACAATAATCAGACAAATGATTCTAACGTGCAAGCAAGTTCACATCAAATTCATAATCAAACCAAAAACTATTGTAAAATTTATGAGAACACATGATTAGCTGCTTACATCATTACATAAATGCAAATTAAATGCACTGGCTTATGTGTAATCAAATGACATAACGTTACTACCCTTTGCCAATTACAATGTCCAATCCAGCCCTGAGCTGCAAGTAGGTTACACCAACGCAACCGGCTCACAATATAATACTAAATGCACATGAAAACTCCAACAAGCTGCAAACTGTGAAATTTAAATAATAAAGTGCATGCAAAAATAGAAATCTTACCTTCCAAGAGGCGCTGAATTATAGAGTCGATGTTTAATTTGTCCGGCTCCGCCATTTTATGTGTATTTTTGACGTTCTCTGGCAGTCAAGACCTTCCGTGTTGGAGCTAAAATGAGAAGCAAAGCGTAAAAGACAAGGTGATCGCTTTTGTAGTTACCCTTTGGACTGTGTAAAAAATACTGCATCGCTTTCAGTACCGCCCTAGTTCATGGAGAAATGCTAGCCCCGATCCAATCAATCAATACGCTTACAAGCTAACCCGTGTAGCGCTAGCCCGGTGATGTAGGTTAGCATTCGTTAGCATCAGCGACTAATCGGCTATTTTAAAGGTAAAAAAAACATAAAAATACGCATCTCCTAACCTTGTTTTTGTGTCGATCTTCTAGGGAATGCTATAACATGAATATTTATCCTTTTGGTACAGTTTTGACCCCGATTCCCTCGCCTCGTCCGGGCTCACTGTACCTTCCCCCAGGAACTTAAAAAAAAATCTGATGGAGAGACTACGGTCACAGTGGAGGCGGGTCAATTTGCATGCGTCACAGTTTTCAGAGCGCTGATTGGTCCGCTGTAGAGCCTGAATAGAAATTTAGAAACTTGATTGGTCCATATTCTCGTCCGTCATGTACGTAGGCCATCGCCCCCAGCCGTTCACAACCAATGGCATCAATGAAGATTCAAACCCACAGAGGACGCTCACAGGACGCCCCCTCGCGTTTACAGATGAGTATGCATGTCATTAACATGTAACGGTGTACATGCACTACATAATACATTCTCTATTTATTATTAAACATTTATATTTTTTTCATGAGTTTTCCAAGTAGCCCTAAAAATACATATAAACAAGTAGGCAAGGCAAGGCAAAGCAAGTTTATTTGTATATCACAATTCGTACACAAAGTAATTCAAAGTGCTTTACAGAATAAGAAATACATTAAAATCATAATAAAAACAAATCAAAACATAAAATAAAAAAAGAGAGACATAAATTGGAGAGAAGAGGGCAGAATGAAAACCTTTCAGTCATATGCACAGTCAAACAGAAATGTTTTGAGACTGGATTTAAACAGCATCACAGAAGAGGCCTGTCTCACATGTTCAGGAAGAATGTTCCAGGTTTTAGCAGCATGAGCCTGAAACGCTGACTCCCCTTGTTTAGTCCTGACTCTGGGTACCAGCAGGAGGCCGGTCCCTGAGGTCCTCAGAGTGCGAGATGGTTCATATGGCACTAACATGTCACAAATGTACTTTGGTGTTCGGCCATGGAGAGACTTGTACACAAGCAGAGCTGCTTTAAAGTCTATTCTCTGAGCCACAGGAAGCCAGTGCAGAGACCTGAGCACAGGACTTATGTGCTCGTATGTCCTAGTTCGATTAAGGACCCGAGCTGCAGCGTTCTGGATGTTCTGCAGCGTCTCACAGCTCGTTTGGAGAGACCAGTGAGCAGACCATTACAGTAGTCTAATCTACTGGAGACAAATGCATGGATAAGTTTCTCCAAGTCTACTTTAGACAGTAAACCTTTGATTTTTGCTATGTTTTTTAGATGGTAAAAGGCTGCAGGCAGATGTTATTGATTTGGTGTGGCTGTTAAAGTTCAAGTCTGAGTCCATTATTACCCCTAGATTTCTTGCCTGATTTGAAGGTTTTAGAGAGAGAGACTGGAGGTGACTGCTGACACTGTCTCTTTGTTTCTGTGGACCCAACACTATGACTTCAGTCTTATCAGAGTTTAGCTGGAGAAAGTACTATAGCAGACAGTAAAATAAACCTTTATTTGTCCAACAATGGGGAAATTCCAGAATTTTGATTACAGATTTACAGAATTACAGATCTGCATGAGAAAAGAAATAGGCACTCAAAAATCAAAATAAAGAGTATATGCTGTATGATGAACTATTCAACACACTAATAACACAGGGTTAAGTCAATGTTTATGCAATTTTCTTTTTAAAAATAATTCCACTAATTCCAATTAAAACCATACTTTGGAATATTCTCCATGGAGAGAAATACATTTTATGTCATACCGTGGAATATTATTGCCAATGGAAGAACATCTCCATTGGAAAAAGCAAGAGAAGGCCCTTCTCCAGGCTAAATAAGAGTCTGACTTGTGGAGATACAAGCAGTAAAGATCCATGTTTTTACAATAAATACATCATGAAAAAAAGCTTTTATTTTAGTCTATTTTTGGAGTCTTATAGTAATGTATAAATGTGTCGTTTCTTCCACTAATGCCCTGCTGTACACTCACAGTCCACTCACCTGGGAAACTGCAGGTAAGTCTATGATTCACTCCAAACACGACTTAGTCTTAATATGACAAAAGAATACCCCAAAGCAAGAAGATAAAGATTTAAGGATTTGTCACATATATTTCATAAACAGAAGCTACATGTTTAAGTTTCAACATATTTCAAGTTTAAACCCTGTTGTAACTAAGAAAACTCGACATCCTGAAGACTGGTATTATCCCCCAGCCAGATGTTTACTTTGCGCACACACACACAGACACACACACACATACAGACACACACATAAGAGGACAGACTTGAGAGAAGCAAAAAGAGCAGACCACTTTGACTGCATTTTCTACATTAGTTTAACATTTTTTCACATAACATTTTCAATAACATCACATAAAATACAGCTGACCCTGATTTCTGACAATGAGGACTAATGAGCTGGGTACGGCCTACTTTCTGTCTAGACTCCTCATTTGTTTTCTATGATGTAACCCAATTTATAACAGTAAACATTCAGTCTTGCCATAACAACGTGTGTTAAAATAGGAACTTGTGACTTCCTATAATTCTCATACTCACAGGTTCCATAAACAAGACTTAAAACCAGGGGGGACAGGACCTATTCTGTGACCGGCCCTAAGTGCTGGAACACTCTGAAATGCTCTGGAACGCTTTGGAACGCTCTGGAACGCTCGTTTTTCTAGTTATTTTTGAGCTATAAAACCACCTGTAATTGAATAAATGTAAGGAAGAGCTGTTTAATGTCATAGAAACAAGCATGTGAAGGACACCCAACCAAAAAGTTACATTGTGCAACTTTAATGCCCTTTCTTTCTTAGTTTAAGGACGTAATCACCACATAATTTAATTCTATCATTGCCAAATCTAAATTTATCTCAGTTTGATGTAATTCTGTGTCAGTTCACATGTTTGGGCAAAAATAGACCACGAGCTTCATGGAGTTTCACAATAATTTACTTCATAAAGATTTCACCACTCATGTCTCACTTCCCAAAATTAGACCACCATTGTCTTGTGTAGTTTCGACTCAGACACATCCCAAGTATGCAGCAGGGAGGGGGCAGACATCAAGGAAACACGGGGCCGTCCCTCAAATATGAAGTTCAGAATCTGGTGAGTCATAAGCACGTCAGAACCAAAACCAAAATATTGCACAATTTATGGACAATGTTTGGTGATTAAGTATTTTTTTTCTGATCTATGTTGTATCTATGTAATGTTGTTTTGTCATCACAAACAGAGCTGAAGTTGTGTTTTGTTTCATTCACACATGTTTAGCACACAAACCCTGCAGATTTAATCTGATTTCTTCTCTCTGTTCTACCTTGTGATGTCATGTGGTGATACAGGAAGGGAATCCGTGGTTTTTTAATTCCACACATATTCACTAGAATCATTTGGATGATTACCGCCCTGGAATTTAAGTCTCTAGTAAACAAAAGGTAAAAAGAGCTGTTAACTTGAAAACTACAGCTTCATGAGGTGGAAGAGAGCGTTCTGAGCTTCGGAGATGTAGACAGACTTACAAATGATAGACTAAAGGATTACTCAAAACATGTGTGAAAGAAACAAAACACAACTCCGGCTATGTTTTTGATGAGATAACATTCAAATATGACTAAAGCTCACAAGAGTCAATTTTGTGTAATGTAGGATCTTTTATATTGTTTGTTCCCACTATGACCAGCAGAAATATAGTTAGATTATTGGTAGGAAATATGGTCAAGTTATAATATAGTCAGGTGCTACCATTATATTCACACTACATCTCCAAAGCTCAAAATGCTCTATTCCACCTTGTGAAGTCATGTACAGTTACCTTTTATCTTTGGTTCTGCAGAAATTGGAAATTCCAGGGCTGAAATGATCCAAATGCATTGTGAAGGTGAATGGAGTTTAAAAACACAGTGGAGATCGTCCTGTATTGCCACATGACATCACGAGGTTGAACAGAGAAGAGTCTGAAGAAGAGCCTCAGCCTAAATATGCAGAATTTGTTGAACGTGTGTGAATAAAACAAAACACAACTCCAGATAAGTTTGTGATGTAACATTAGAACATAGAGAAAATAGCATAATATGGGCCCTTTAAATTGGCTACTCACTAAGCCTAAATCATTCTTAATAAACCAGTTGTTCATTATTAATTAAGTCTCTTCTGCCATTGAAAAAGTATGATCTTCATTAAGTTCAGAAGGAATTTAACTTTAACTTTCCATAAATAGATACTCACCAATTAAATAATCTTGTACAATATATAAATAATACAATCAATATGAATAAAACATGAATTCAGCATAAAGAAAAAAAGAGGTGACATGTGACAGTAGCTTGGTTGGTTTGAGGGTTTTACATTCCTGTTTTATGCAACACTTAGAAGTTGACTTTGTTCAGAGTTCACTCTTAAAATCATTCTAAACAAACTATAATGTAAGAATTAATTATGAATCCAGTGTTTATTCATGCTTTATAATTTGGTTGTTATAAATCTGTACAATAATAAAACTGTGTAACATGGCAGAGTTTCAGAAGTTTCAGATCAAAAGTATTGTAGACCTTAAACTGCAAAACTGAAAAGGAACTGAGGAATTGGGCAAGTCCAGTCTGGTCTGCGTAGAGAGATGGTCCCGCCCCGAACCCTCACCCACATACCAATTGAAATACCCCCTTTACCTCCAATACGCCTCATTTTAGAAGAGCATCGCACAAGAAGCAACAAGCAGCAAGAATACCTGAGTTTTGAAGGAAGAAAGCATCAGAAAAATAAGGTAAGCATCTTCTCTATTTGAACAGATGGGAATGCATCGGTCTGTTATTCTATATCAAAGACAAAACATAGAATTGTAACTCAAGGGTGAAGGACTTGATTTTCTGAAAACATTTTGACTTATTCTGAAACGGAATTTTACTTTGCGGTTCGTGAACATTGCATTTCATTTATATCAATTTTGTAATTTGAAATGCAGGTGATTAATTTAGAATTTTCCATAAAAGTGAAACAGTCATTTGATTAGAAATAATAAATGCTTAAAAACAATTTCCATATAATTCAAAAGTTACAGTTACTGGATATACAATGTTAGTGAAGCATTATTGGAATAACTGTCTGATGGAGAAATATAGGCCTATAACAAACAAACAAACAAAAAAGTTATTGTTGCTTCGTTCTCATTTGGCATTCAAGTGAATAAGAAAACCAAATACTGCTTATGCCAGTTTTTTTTTGTTTTTTATTGGATGCTGTTATTTCAGTTTTAATAACAATATAGTACACCCTCATAGACTTTAGATAAATTACTACTTGTTGTTAAGAGGAGATCAACATGATTTGTGGGTGGTACTTGGCATGAACCTGCCCAAACTCACTCACCAAAAATACCTGGAAATCATCTTGTGTCAAGTTTGAAATGTATGGCTCAATATTATTTTTGATTTTAAACTAAGGGCCACTAATTTTCGGGTATAAAAGACAGACAAAGCCAATGGAACAGTAATCAATTCTTAACTTACGACTACAACCATCACTACTTTTACTTTTATTCGATATTTCAGAGTATTCTGGATAAGAGAAAAAATGGAGAATAAAATGCAAAATTAGGCATTGATACTGTATGTTAATTAGCAGAAACCCATTGATCCATTTTCAAAAACAACATCTGTGATCACATTTCTTTGGAAGGGCCTTGAAACCTGAGATACAAGAAGGTGTATGGGGCGTCACCAGCATCCTGTCCGGGCCTGTCCTGTCAAGACATAACATTTCTAGTGGAGGGTCCGCCACCTGCTTGTCTCCATGGAGATGTTGTAGCTTTGTTTAGAACGTTCCGCAGCATATCATGAGGGAGACAAGCAGATCTGTGGAGAGTCGGAATTATGGTATTTTCGATTTATAGAAACACCCGTAATGAATAAACGCTAGATGTAGGAAGGTCAGTTTCTCATCACCATGGACAGTTATTGCGCTTTGCCTGGAATGTAAAACTTGTCTGTCTATAGAAGTATGTTTTTAATGTATTTTTCTTGGCAATAAAAACATCTGCCATCGGTAATCTCCATGGAGACACGCAGGTGGAAACAGGAGGGTGTATACTTTGAATGGGTGTTACCAGTGTCTCGGTTTGGGCCTGTCCCAACACAGCCATGTATAATGCGTACCCGGGAGCTAAAGATCTTGTACGGGCTTGTTCTGGAGGTGTGATGTACCCAAAAGATATGCATTCAACCATGAGAACAGCTACCTGGAAACAAAGCTTGGAGATATGGAAAAAGCACTTTAAAATCTGATGATCACTAAAGATAGTTAAAGTTTGTAGTTGTTTTATATTAACAACACTATTACTGTAAAAGGAATGATCTGCCTATTATCTAAGAATGAGTTGAATGTAGACACTGAGATCTTGTATTGTAAAACTTAATACCTTTGGGGCGTAGTCTTTTCACAGTCCCAGGCCCTGGGTTTATTCCTTTGTTGTTTCTTCATTCATGTACAATAAGTCTGATTTCACTTTCTTTACAAGCTTTTTCTAAAATTCTTGATGCCCACTACAAACATCTCTTAGAGCGAATCACGATTTTGATTCATATATTAAAGGTGTAGCTTGCCACTAACTTGTTTCCATAGCGAAGTTTGTTTTGGCTGGAATGTTCCACAGTATGGCGTCAAAAGTGTATTTAGTCAGTTACAGGTTTTGTTTTCATATAAAAAAAAAAAAAATAGCTTGAAAACATGCATTCTTACAGGGAGCAGGTTAGCCTCTCCACAGAGCTGAAACGTAAGACGGAGATGAGTTTAATGCTGTACTGTGCAAAATTCCTAGCAAGTTAGTAACATCTCCGTGGTGATGAGAAAGCGATTTGCACATAAATCTCCTTAAAATTTTGCCTGATTTATCAGCCAGTTTGACTTCATGTAAACCGTCTGACCTCACAGCGTTAAAATTAGTTCGCTCAATGGTAGGCGGGTACTTTTTTCAATTAACCAATCTCTGCTATTTGGTTGTGACATATGTAATTTGCAGCTAATAGAGCTAACTGGTATATTAAGCTTTTCCCAAATCCCATAGGAAGAAGGGCAATAATGTCTTTCCGTTGATCAAATTCACCAAACATTCTCTTTGTTCCAGCTTTAAATCCTTGATCTCGGGAATCATTGTCAACACAGAATGTATGGCTCTGCTGATTGGCTGGTGCCTGAACTTGCACTTTGGGGGTTCTTGCAAACAGTCTAGTGTATTCTGATTCCTGACCTAGTCGCCAGAGAAATGAAATTGAGTTGAGGCATTAGGTGGCGCCAGCCTGACTACTCAAAAGTGGGACTAACCAGGAATACTTTCTAGACTAGACCAGGACTAAACAAGGACTAGAACAGTACCAAACCTGGAGACAAGCAGGTTATAGCACTATGCTACATTGCCATTCAGATCTGTGGAGAGGCAAGCCTATTCAAAGAAGGAATTGTTGTATTTTTGAGCAAAAGAATACCCATAATTAATAAAAGCAAAATGTATATGTTTAATATCATACCAGGGAAGATTCCAGGCAAAGCAATAACATCTCCATAGAGACAAGTATGGGTGTGATGTGTACTAATGAAGATTTGGACCATGTTGTAACTCTTGTGTCCCCTCTTCTTTCAGGATGGGTTCAGTTGGAGTTCAGATCGTGTGTGTGGCTCTGGGGGTCCTGGGGCTCATCGGGGTCATCGTGTGCTGTGCCATCCCACGCTGGAACATGTCTTCTTTTGTGGGCTCCAACATCGTCACAGCGCAGGTACAAAATAAGTATTATTTACACAAAATTACACTGAGATGATAAGGATAATTGCAGTGTTATGTGGGATAACTAAACTCATTGGATATAGTAATTAGTTGCAGATCCTCTCCTTGTTTCTCCTTGTTACCATGCTCCATTCTCACGAACTTCAAAATAATATTACACAAGTACAAAGTAGAAGTCTTAGTAATGACTTGTGACACTTGTATTGTATTTGTGGAATCTACTACACTTCTAAGAATAATTTTAACTGTCTGTATGTAACATCTGATTCAAAGTTAATGTAACCTTAGTTGTGTAAGAAGATCTAAGGTTCAAACCATTTCATTTTGTAAATATAAAGTCATTCAGAAAAAAGGGAGTGCCACAGGGGTAAAGCATTAGTGGAGCAAAAATGAGGAGAAATGTAGATAACAAAACAAAAGACTTTCAGTAAAAGTCTTTGAACTTGAACTTGAAGGACATACCAATGAGTTTATGCAGTCTTCATCAGGGCAAGCAATACAACATTTATCACTTCTAAACACAGTGAGAAGTGTAAGTAAAAGTAAGGTAGAGTACTGTTACAGTGTAAAATATATTACTTAATGTATGGTGTCTGAAAACGTATTCTAACTAAGTCACCTTTGTTATATGCAGTCTTAGAAAAGTGCTAATACATGTTCAGTCTCTTTATGTGATTATTTACCATTAGGAATGTAACGATACCCAAATCTCTCAATACGATACTTTCACAATATACATCTCACAGTATGATATTTATTCCTATATTTTGTGGAAGCTAACAAGACTGTAAATATGCTACTTTTTTATTTTAAAATGCCTTGACAAGCTTTTAGTTCTGTCATAATCTAAAGAATTGAGATTTAAAAGTGCTTAATAACAGTTATTTCTTCATGTACAAGTGAAACGGAGCAAAGGGTTATGGTCTATGTAGTTCTTTCTATTGTTTTAGCTACACTATAACTATTCCTTTAAGCAGAAAGACTTAATTCAATATATTGTGATGGTCCATGATATTATTGAGACTTTTGACAATACGATATCACGATATTTCGGTTATTGTGACATCCCTACTTACTATATAGCATGACAATTTTAAAAAATCTATTGTTTCTTCCCCACAGACCACGTACAAAGGCCTATGGATGGAGTGTGTGATGCAGAGCACGGGTCAGCAGCAGTGCAAAAGCTACGACTCCCTCCTGGTTTTGCCCTCCGACCTCCAGGCCGCCCGTGCCATGACCATTATCAGCGCCATGGTCAGCACCCTCTCCCTCCTCATCCTCTTCTGCGGCGCCGACTTCACCACCTGCATCGAGAACGAAGACGCCAAACCCAAAATCAGCCTCGTAGCCGGGATCGGTATGATAATCGCCGGCCTGCTCGTGATCATCCCCGCAAGCTGGTCCGCACATACGGTAGTGAGGGAGTTCAACAACCCCATGATCACCGCATCAGCGAAGATGGAGTTAGGGCCTTGTATTTTCATCGGTTGGGGAGCGGGGGTCTTGCTGTTGATCGCAGGGGGGCTGTTGTGTTGTTTTAGCAGACCGAGTAGCAGCTCCGGTGGTACGGCTAAGTACTACAGCAACTCATCTCCGTCTGCCCCCAAAAATTATGTGTAAAAAAAGTTTAGAAGATTGTACCCCGCAAAAAAAAAAAAAAAAAAAAAAAAAAAAAAAAAGTTAAGCTACACTCTTAAAACTAAAATCTAGAGTAAATTTCTCTTGACAAGTAAAATGTTTTGTACTTAAAATCAACATACATAACATACATCTTGCTAAACTTATGAGAACAACAACTCTTTGCACTTGTTAATTTGACTTGTCAAGTTGAATCTACTCAAATAAAGTAAAATGTTCTTAATTTAAGTAATTTGAACTTATTTAGATATAGATTTTTGCAGTGTAGTTAGAAAATCTAGAATTGATTTGCTATCAATAAATGCATTAGACTAACAAAAATAGTTTTAACAGTATCCTTTATAACTGAAAATGTTGACTTTAACTAATTCTCTTAAGTAATGACCTTCAATCTTTTATTTTATGTTGACTTAAAAGAATACTTAAAACGTTTATGTTCAGTCAACCTCAGATATTTAGACTGGAAATAAGTGAACTATTTAAAGTCAAATTTTCAGTTTTGTGTAGTAGACATTTCTGTAAATTATTCGTTAGAATCAGGATTTTAAAGTTTTAACAAACTAGATGAAATTGCTTAAAATTGCTTAATTATATTACCAGTTCCTTGATATATTTTATTATTCAAAATACTCACTGGCAGTGGAATATGATTTTGGCTTGTAAAGAAAAATATTGATAATAAATTATAAAAAGTCAGATTATTTAGACTAAGCAAAATGTGTTAAAAACACTAAAAATATTCCATTAGTTATAACTAATGGAGAAGTGACAGGTACCACTGGAATAGTCGACTTGTACATACACTGATGTTTCACAATTGCTTTATCTGGTGTTAGACTGTCTGGACCACATTGTACTTTGGGCTGGTATTGAGTAATGATCATAGACTCTATGTTTAAGTATGACATTTCGGACTGTATTGCAACATGTAACTTCACAATTCAGAAATCCGACATGTTTGCTCCTGAAGCATTGGGTTCTAAGATCAAAATGAGTCAACTATAACATAAAGTCTATGTGAACAACCGCTTTTCATTTTTCTTTTGTAAATATTCCATTTTCATAACACAATTAAATCTTTGTTTGATGTTTCACTGTATCACTGTAATTAACAATAAGCTACATTATTAAAAGATACATCTGTATTTCCCTTGTGATTTCAATCATTTCATGAATTTGGCATTTTAGGACAAACTGCATAAGTTGCACTGTTTTCTTACTAAAATTGTTATCCTCAAAAGAAAATAATTTGAACATTGTAACATTATACATATTATGATTTAGTTTAGTCTAGCATCACAGGTATTAGTATTTTAAATAGTTTAGTGATGTTTTTTTAATGTTTTTTTCTTTGTTCTTTGTTAACCAAAGGCACCTCAGTTGGCCTCAGGGAGCATTCTACATGTTCATCCTTATATGACATTTATTAGTGAATGACTTTGTTTTGTACTGACATGGATAAATAAATCAATTGTGTAATCGAAAATTGTTGTGTGTTTTGTGTTAAAGACCTGTTTCATGTGTTCACAATGAAAGAGTAAAGATTAGGATTAATCAGATGGACCAAGAGAGTCTGACTGCAGGAGGAGTAGGGGCAGGAGTTGTATTTACAAATATAAATGTGATAACTTTATAATGATTTACTCTCTGTTATTACAAAGATATAAGCCTCACCTGTAGAGGCCAATGTTACAGATATAAGATGCTGGACTTCAGAGTGAGTGATGAACGTCTCCAGGTACCTATGCCATGAACCTGCTCTTTTCATTAAATTGATTAATTCAGTCATTCATTTTTAAAACACTGGAGTAAGGGGACCTGATATGGGACCCCCTCTAATATAAACTGTTAGGAAGAGGGTTCAACCTCCTGACACTGGAAACATTTGACTACTTTTATGACATGGTGAAGTTGGTAATATGGTAATTCCATACAAAATATAATACATATAATACAAATGTATGCCATACTTTTGAATATTTTCTGTGGAAATAGATTCATTTTATGCAATAAATACCATGGAACAACACTTCCATGGAAAGCCAAAGGAGGCCCTACACCTGGCTAAATAATACATGTTTTTCTACATTTTTCAGGGCAAAGCATCATCCAAAGCAAAAAAAAAAAACAGACCCTAGTCAGATGGACAGCTTAAGTTAGATATTTTGAAGATAATGTTAAGTAAAGGAGGCAAATTCCATATATTTAAAGGATGCAGAAGTAAAAGCCGTCAGAAACCCCAAAACAGAAGCTACACCTTTTTGAAAATACTTTTATTTCAGACTAAATATATTAAAATGGATCGTTCACATGTTGACACATTTGGTCCTTGAAACCCTCCCTTTAAAACACAGTATCATATTGTTTTAAATACAGGTCTAATGTACCGTTATCTTTGCCTCTAAAAATGCCTAAATTTTTGATTCCAGTTCTAATGCTTGCTCTCCAGCTCCTTCACCCGATTGGTCAGTGCTTCTATTTCAGCTCTCAGATCCTTCATCTCTTTCCTCAGAGACTGGACGTCCTGAAAGAGAGAGAAAGACTGCAGTGTTTAAAGCTGATTTGATTGTAGGCTAGATACAAAGACAGGCACAAATAATAATAAACAAATAATTTTTAAAGTAGTTGCATCTATTGACAGTTTTCTATATATCCTGGTTAAATTATTTTTAACCACATGAATTCATACATATAATAGTTTATTCTCACCCCACTGCTGTCCACTGTCCCTGCTGCAGAGGCACTTGTCGTCTTGAGGAGGCTCTTGTGAACTTTGAACTCTTTGGCTTTGGTGGTGGCCACAAACCCGTCTTTCAGGGAGATGAGGATGGGTGGGGCTTCTTTCCCAGCGAACCAATCATCTGCCTCGACCGACGGCTCTGGACCAATTGTGTCCGGGTACAGATCCTCCTGGAACAAGTCCGACTGAACAAAAAGAGAGAGGGAAGAGTCAGGCCAAATACACCAGAGTAGTCTGCTGATATTTAGTGATATCTTAATACAGTGACTCTGAAATGGTGCTTGTGAATTTATTAAAACTAAAACCTACCTTTCTGGGCACAGTCATGTGGATAGGCTCACATTTTCTTTCATGGAGTTTGTAAAATCTAAAAAAAAATAACACAACAAGAAAACAATATATCTGATCAAATGCAATTTAAGATAAATGATCTATCTATTACGCTATTATTTGAATGAAACAAAACAGAATTCCAGATAAGTTTTTGAGGAGGTAGCAGCATTACTATAACACAGCTTTAAGCTCCCAAGAGTAAATTCTGTGTGATATAAGACCTTTAAACACACACACAGACCCACTTTCTAACTTGAAATTGTCACATGTCTGTCATTAGCCAATCACAGCTTGCTATCTATCTTGTGGCCATACTGGCTTGTCAAAGCCTGATCCCGTCAGATCTCAGAAGCTATACAGGGCTGGGCCTGGTACTACTTGGATGGGAGACCACTGTGAAAATCAGGTGCCACAGGATTGCGCTAGTCGTAAAAACTGTTGTTGTGTCTTTAGGCAAGGCACTTCGCCTTCATTGCCTAATATGAAAGTGGTTTGTGTGAGTGATGGTGGTGGTCAGAGCTGCCAATGGCACAGACTGGCAGCCGCACATCCGTCAGTCTGCCCCAGGGCCTGCTGTGGCTACAGTAGTAGCTTAGCACCACTGAATATGGAGTGAAAGAAAAATGGTCTGTAAAGGTCTTTGAGTGTCCAAAAAGCGCTATATAAGACTGATGCAGTATTGTTATTATTATTTTCACCCCTCAACTAGTCACCTCACAAATTAGTATTAAGTACATGTACATGTTTTTATTGCTCAAAATTCCATGAAAAACATGTATTTTTACAGTGAGTGGGATCATCTCTGCACAGATATGACCTGTAACTTGGCCTTGTGGTGGCATCTGCTTGTCTACATGGAAATAAATAAGTTTTATGCCAAACTTGGGGATATTTTATAACACCTCCATGGAGATTTGATAAAAAACTTGATGATGCACCCTCTACCAGAAAAGTTGCACAAGTGTATTTTAAAATATGTATTCATCTGGATTTTTATTGCATGAATCTATGTTATAAGGAAAAAAAGAACCTAATAACATAAATCATCAGAAGACCAATTTAACTTAATTGCATAAATCTATTCTTTTGTCAGTCTTGAACCTTGAGTTGCAATCCTGACATTTCCCCATCTTATCAATCTATATACATTTTTCTCCTAACAAATCTATCATCCTTTACCTTCTAAACAAGACTGCTCATGTCTCTGCCTGCTGGGGCCTGAAAAACTAACTCAATATTCAATAAACAGTTCAGATCCCTCCAGGTGATAATATCGTGTTTCGTACCTGGCGATCTCACACTTGTTGACCTCCAGACCTCTCTTGGGCATGTACCCCATCCCCTTCTGACTGTCTTTGCTGCTGTACATGGACAGGAAGTGCACGTATGGAGCCTCATCAGTCACCTCAAAGTAACGGATGCTGCTGTCACCCTGAAATACAGAGGGGAAAACACATTATTACTGTGTTCTCTATGTTGTTTGTGTTTGGTTGTTTATTGATACTTTTCAGCCGATGTCATCATTCCCTCGTGGGGTGAAGCTAACAGGAGGCACATTACACCTTAATTAGCCTTAATAAAGCATGAACAAAGACTGAAGTCATAATGAACAAATCGTTTATAAAAAATAGATTCAGATTTAATAGTTACTTCACTATAATACTATAATTCCCAACTCTATTAAGCAGTTACTAAAAAGGCTTATTATAAACTAAGTCTTTCATGTTTTTCTTACTTTATCAAGGCTAATTAACATGTAGAGAGCTTTTCTGGATTAATTTACAACTGGTTTCAGTTATATAGGATCTGGCAACCCAAAGCAAAGACATCAATGTGCTTTATGATTAGTTAAGTAGCTTGATCAAAACACAAAAGGTGTATTATAGCTTCCACATTTTGAAGTTTGAAAATGGGGTGTGTTCATGCAAAAATTAACAATATAATATTAGAAAGAGCAGAAAAAATACTTTAAGTCCTATGACACATGTTGTACCTTCCCACAGAGGTACACCACGTTTGTGTCTGGGTCGTAAAATGGAAGCAGGACTCCACTCCCAGTGTCCAGCTCCTGAAGGTTCAGAGGCTCAGAGAAGTTCTTCTAAAAAACAGCAAAACAAAACATTATTAGAGATTTATAATGAGTCATATTATCTTTAAAAATGTTGCCATTATTTTGGAGAAAGTTTAGCAATTTCACACAGTTTCTGTCTATTTACTCACATGTGATTCTGTGAGACAATTGTGAAATCTGAATGTCCAATTATGTGTAGGGTTGCCAAAAGTATCGAAAATCAAATACAAAAACTAATATAGAAACTAGACACTAATTAGAGCAAGTATCGATACTAAAAAAGATAGAACAGCACATGGGAATATAAACGAAAAAAACAAACAAACTGTGATTTAATGTTAAAAATCACATTCTATTGTCTAAATAATGAGCATTTATTTATTATCATTGCTGTATCAAGTCTATTCATTAGTACTGAAATTGAGTTTGAAATTTTTGTATCATGACTAATCATAAACTACTTCCTAAAAAGTCAAATCTACCTACTACTTTGGTTCTGGTCTAGTTCCAGGTTTAGTCAGGTGAGAAGAATGTATGCTCTATTTGATATCAGGATTATGTTGGATATAGCACCACCCTTATAACTTCATCATCTATTGAGAAACAGTTCAATCGGAAATGCATGATCACACTAAAGCTATAAACAATTTTGGTGTTTGGTGCAACAGGATGATAAATGAACTATTATGAGATTACTATATTGGGTTAATTGCAGTTGAGTACATTTGCACTTTAGTGTAGACCAGATCTTTGCACATGACATAAACCTGGTGGATTTGGAACTGTTTTTGAATCCCTGTGTTGTTAAAATGTAGAATGTGCCTGGTTTATCTATGACACTGCCCATCTAAGACTTTGAGATATTTTCAAAACATACATACACACATGATTTGGCTGCCATGCTCATAGTCATTTAAAATTGGACTAACATAGGACTAAGCTTGTTTACTTGACATTGGTCTGGCTCGTAGACTGTATACATATGGACATAGCTAACCCACTAATCGCCGTGTTCCAAATATGAAGTGAACATATGGGCGTTTCGAGCTCCATTGACTCGGGCTCCAGTTGAATTTCTACATGATCCTGGTGTTTTATTTAGTTATTTTGTCTGTAAATAAATTCCTATTGTAAATATAGAACTTGGCTTCAAATTCACCCTATAACTGCAAGCCTCAGTGAGCTTCATTTGACTAGAGCTGAACGCAATGGGTGGCGTCACACTCCCTTAGTCCACTTCTTTATACAGTGTATGGTCCAGCTACAGCCGTGGAGAGTGGAGCTCCACTTTGGTTTAACACTTAATTATAAGCCCCCAAACTCTAACCTTAATTAACCATGCAACTCTTGTAAATGAATACATTGTCCCTAATTAATTCAGAATAATTTAGGTTTTTGGCACTTCCACTCCTTACAGTAGCTGCAGCTGTCTCTTTTAGTTGATTTTAATTCTCAGCTAAAAATGTTACTCAGTGTACTCACAGGGTCCCACAGCGCCACCTGCCTCTCGCTCATACGGCTGAAGCCTGTGCTCAGGATTTTTCCGTCGGACATGAACACGGCCCGGACCGGTCTGGAGCCCTCGTGAGGCTTCTCCTTCTCCTGTAGAACACAAAAGAGAACAGTTCAGGAGTTATACCATGGACTGAGAATAGGAATGTGTGTCAGTTTGGGTCAAATGTAGCTGTCAAAGGAAAATCAACAGGCATTGTTGAAATATGAAAATGTGTTTGGCAGTTAGATCCAAGTTCTCAAACTGCTGATATCAAACTTCTAGTAAAGATGTATGGAGTGTAGAATGTGTGAATGAAACAAAATACAACTCCATGTACAGTATGTCTGTACTCTGTTCCACCTTGTGATGTCATGTAGGGGTAGTTTTCAAGCTACCTTTTACCTTGAGTTCAGTAGAGATTGGCATTTCCAGGACTGAAATTATCCAAATGATTCTAGTGAAGTTGTATGGAATTTAAAAACACAGTAAAGTACTCCGTGTAGTATCACATGACATCACAAGGTGGAGTGTTTTGCGTTTGAGAGAAGAACTCAGCCTAAATATGCCGGATTTGTGTGATAAACATGTCTGAATGAAACAAAACACAACTGAATATATGTTTGTGATGAGAAAACAACGTTATAACATAGGTTAAAACAGTGCACTATGCGCCCTTTAATTTTCTTTCTGGACTGTGACAGCAGTGGTTGGTGGCTGCACTCACGGTGATGACGGTGCCTTTGCGGGGGTCCAGTATCCGGAGCGTCTTGTCTTTACAGGAGGTGAGGATCCTGGAGCCGTCCCTGTTCCACACGGCGCTGTAGATCAGGTCTGTATGAACCGAGTCTATGCGCACCACCGCCTCCCCACAAGCAACATTCCACAAGATCACAACGTTATCACAACCTACGCGAAAGAAGGAGGAGAGGATAAATACATACATGATCATAAAGAAATATATAAGTTTGAACTGACTTTTAGAAGCTTTTAACCATGTTTTCCTTTCCTCATCGGCTTACTCCAAGTTGTATTTTTGATTCATGCACATTTGAGTGGGCAAAAGTAGCTCAGTTGGTAAAGTGTTTGCTTACTGATCTGAAGGTTGGTGGTTCAATCCTGCTTTTGACATTAAAAAAAAAAAAAAAAATCATTGGCTGAGCAGTTAGATCCACTGACGCAGAGGTTGGTGGTGCATTCCTGCTCCCACAGATGAATGCAAAACAGAACCATGAACGCTTGCGTTGATCACTGGCTCCTGAAAATGTGTTTAATGTGTCTAAATCCATTTTGTATTTTTCAGACTGTCTTAAAACATTTTGGGCAGTTTTTGCGAATGGTAACTGCTGAAGATTCCACCAATAGAGACACAAGTGGAACACCCCCAGTCTGATGTCATTGCAAAGTATCAGTACATTCAGATGGACGTTCCTTCAGATGGCGTATTTCCCACTATTTAATTTCCAGGAACATCCAGACACTTTTCTCGGAAATGTTTTCTCCTCCAAATCTATAAACATCTTTTAATGGTTGGACAAGCCCAGACACACACGACCTCTCCTCTACCTCTTCAGTGACAAATACTCAGGAATCACAAAAAGCAGGTACTTTACTTCTATGGGATATTAACTGCTAACACATAACATATTGAGATCACCTTGCTACCTTTTATTGTTTTGAAAATGGTATATTTGCCGAAAACAACATAAAGAGGGTTCGAATGGTGGGAGTGGCTGGTAGATTATTCAAATGCAAAAGGGAGCATTTGAACTTTTTTTTTTTAAAAGGCTTGCAAATAATGACAATTAATGCAAGAATATTGTCCTCGCACCCATTTGAAACTCGTATACACCCTCTGTCAGTTTGGTCCGAACCTGACGCTCGTATAAAACCTCCTCGGGCATGTCTTTGATGAAGGAACGAAAGCTCCAAAAAGTCAATTTTGCATAATCCAAAAACAAAAAGGAGTAAAAGACTAAACCTGGAATAAGCCCAGTAAATAAAGTCAAAACTAATACAGACAAAGCAGCCAGGATTATTACTGTACTGATTCTAATGCTGCTCCATCTTGTGCCATTCAAATGGAAGTTTAGTCTATTTCATATCACAACCACTAGAGGGCAGCAGATGTTGTTGTAAGAATGGCTAAGGGGTTGCAGTTTTATATTCAAACTTCGAGACTAAAACTAAATCCAGATCATATTATGTTCATATCGGATCAAAATAAGTTTAAAATCAAATTCAATTTAAGAATAAACCAAGCCAAAAAAAAAAAAAAAAAGAACAAAAGCTAAGAGATCTTGTATGTGACTTTTTACTGTCTTAAAAATGTGTTTGCAGTATTCCAAAGTTATTATAGTTATAGTTATTATTAGTTTATAAGCAGTTTATAAGAGAAGAGTGACGGTAAAGCTGACGACAACTAGTATGCTAATGTACACTTCCTGATTATTATAAACGCTTTATAATTAGATGCAGACAGCGCATATTTAATTTATTTCGACCTTCAAGAACTGTTTGAAAGTCTTTCTTAGTCTTATTCTTAGAAGCACTGTAGCTGTAGTGTAGGCCTATTATAGATCTGGTCAAGACTTAATTTAGACCTAATATAGTCCAGTTATAGTCCTGGCTTAGATCTGGTGTTACACTAAAAGTCAAATCTATTCTTAGGTGGTAGTTGGTGTGAGAGTTTGTCTAAAGCGGTGTGGTACAGTGAGCATACCTGCGCTCATGAGCACGTTGTGGGCAGTGGGGTGCCAGCTCAGGATGCCCACCCGTTTGGAGTGCCCATCTAGTTTGACCACAGGCTCCGTCAGAGGAGAGACCAGCCCGCCCTCAGGGATCTCCCAGATCTGAAAAGGAAATTGAAAAAATAAAAAAATCTATTCAGTAACATAAAGAAGTGTCCATACCACAGTAATAGAAATATGTGCTTAAAGGTGCACTGTGTAACGTTTTGGTTGAGGATCCGTCACCTGCTTGCTTCAATGGATATGTGATTGCTCTGCCTAAGATGTTCCACAGTATGACATTTAGCAGCTACCTTACATTTATTCAGTTACAGGTGGTATTACAGCTCAAAATTACGTAGAAAAACATGCATTCTGACTGTGAGCAGGGTCGCCTCTCCACAGATCTGACCAGTAATTTCTTCTGGTTTAGTCTCGCTAAAAGAATTGTTTAATGACATATTGTGAAACAGTCCAGATAAAGCAATAACATTTCCATGAAGAAAAGCATATGACAGACAATCCATCAGAAAAGTTACACAATGCATGAAGATGTGATTGCTTTGGCTAGAATATTGCACAGTGCAGCATTAAACTTATCAGTCTCCATGGAAACAAGCAGCTGACACCACCAGAACAGATAACAGGTCTGTGCAATGGAGAGGAGAGCCCACTCGCAGCAAGAATACATGTGTCAGAATGTATTTTTGCGAAAGGAAAATACATATATATGTTAAATGCCATACTGTGGAACTTTCCAGACAATAACACCTACATGGAGACAAAGTTAAATAAACCTTTAAAAATACTTTACTACTACTGACAACTAAAACTTTCTAACTACACCCAGACATTTTACTCTTGTCCACACAAAGGTATATGTATTTATGTGAGTTACCATGACGCTGCAGTCCTCAGATCCACTGGCGATGATGTTGTCGTTGTGGGGACAGAACTCGATGTCAAGCACAGGCCCAGTGTGTCCACAGACTGTGGGATACGACATGTCAATACGGCCTGTCTGAGAAGAGACAAAAACAAAAGATTATTACAACAAAATCATCAATAATGCTACTGCTACTGCTACTGCTACTACTACTGCTACTACTACTATGACAACTACTACTACTACTTTTACTGCTACTAATAATAATAATATTGCTGTTGCTGCTACGACTACTATTACTGCTACTACTGTTTCTCTCACCCAGAAAAAGTCTGTGTTGTAGACATGCGTTTGGCTGGTGAATGGCAAAAGTCAGAGCTCCATTTACTACTACTACTACTACTATTACTACAACTGCTAATATTACTAATTAAATTACACAAATACTGCACAGTAGGTTCCTCTTGACCAAGATAGAGAAGGATCCACAAATGCACAGAACATACTTCCCCTATAAGGTCAATAAAGTTACTACAATCATGACTCAAATGGAACCATTTGTTTGTATATAATATTGTAATAGTAATCCAGTATGTAATGCATTAATCATAATAATTATATACTCCACGCATTATTCATTCAATCCATTCTACTATTTTAGCCACAGCTGCCCTGGGACAGACTGATGGATGTGAGGCTGCCAGTCTGCGCCACTGGACCAACACCAAAACTCACATTCATATAAATACCACATCCTATTACACTTGCTACTACTGCTACTACTACTCCTGTTGAAATTATGTTTTTTGTGAACCGACAACTAAAAACTACAACAAAACTGTACTGAACTTCAAATAATGTACTTAAAAAAAAGTAAAAGCATACATTGATAAATAAATGCCTAAATTACTGTACTTGGTCCTGCTTAAATCTCCAAATACCTCCAGTGGTCTTTAGAAAGGATTCAGCTGATTCAATTCTGTTAGCTGTAACTGGACAGAGTGGGTGGATGTATGAGCCCATCTGTAATGATTAGTTTTGACCACAGGCTTCATACTAATACATTCACTTTCATTTAACTCAGTGGACATTTAGTCTGAGGAATTTGAATAAAGCAATAAAGAAAAATGACGGGGCCATGTCCTGAAGCTAGGGGTCACTGGATGAGAAAATCTGTATGCTTTTATTTCATTTACATATTTTTATTCTAATTTTAGTCTAGTGGTGTATCAGCAAGCAGTTTCAACATAAATATGCAAAAATTAGCACAATATAGCATGTACACTGCAGAATTTTGCTTGTCTTCATTGTGGGGATGTTTATTGCTTTTCCTTTCCTGTTGTATGTTTAGCATTTAAATGAATTAACTCAATGGAGGAGGTGCCACCAGACCAAGTTATGGGTCAGATCTAAGGACAAGCAAGCTCACTCACAGTAAGAACACAAGAATAAATACGGATGGATAAGTTTGACGCCATACTGTGAAAAATTCTAGGAAAATAAATCAATAACAGCTCCATGGAGACAAGGAGGTGGCTAGAAAAGTTACGTAGTGCCAATTTAAATTACTATAGGACCTGTACTAGATTTTTTCCCCCATGTATTTAAACAAAACGGGTCTTGCCCCAGTACAGATTTATTGTATAAGCAGCTATTGAGATCAAAATATGTCCGCTGTGTACTATATAAATGTAATTATAAAGCGTTTCATTGTCCAATAATCAGGAAGTGTGCTGTAGCATGTTTGTTGTTGTTTTACCGCATTACAGTGACAGCAAAATTTCATTCTAGTCTATAAAATTTTGCTTATACCATGGACCCACCAACTGAATATAGTTCCTTTTTAAATTGGACAAAATTTTGGCTGTCCGTGAATATTCAGGGCATTGGTTATTTCTATTTTAGCTGAAACTAGTCCCTCCTAACACTAGTTTATTTTTGTTTACTTGTTGCTATGGTGATGCTCATGGTATAGTGATATGGAACAATGATTAACATGTTATAAATTTATAAAGAACTTCAATCTGAATCTGTTCATTAGTTTATTAATAGTATTGTAGTATTTGTGTATTCTGTTCATATGTTTGCATGTATGTATGTTTAAAGTTATTTGTAAACAATGCAATAAAGGGAGGGGGATAATATCTCCTATCAAGCTTTGACATTGGTGGTGAAGAGGAGATGGAGAGGCTGGAGTGGTGCATGATTTTGCTGCTGTGGTGGACTAAATAAAGAGAGCAGTGCAATTAAATGAATAGTTAAGATCTAATAGTAGCAGGTTATGATAAAAGGATCTATGTTATAATGTTGTTTCCTCATCACAAACAGACCTGGAGTTGTGTTTTGTTTCACACATGTTAAATAAAAACACAAAACCTGCATATTTAGTTCTTCTTTCAAAGAGATATGGTAGTACAGGAAGTGCTTCACTATGTTTTTAAACTCCACACACATTCACTAGAATCCTTTGGATGATTTCAGCCCTGGAATTGTCAATCACTACTGAACTAAAGGTAAAGAGAGAGCTGTTAACTCGAAAATGCCCTCTTCATGGCATCAGAAGGTTGAACATTAACTAACTAATAACAGAGGTTTACTCAGACATGTGTGAATGAAACAAAACACAAGTCCGTTCTAACATGGCTTAAAGTTCACAAGAGTCAATTTTGTGTACTATAGCACTTTTAACTAAATAAAAATTGAATGTTCCTCCTCTATACATTCTGTTTATCTCCAGAAATCTTACACTCAACAATACAGTTTCCTTCAAGGAGTGTAGATGCATTCATATTCAGAGTCTTGAATGTTAAATGTGAACCACATCCTGTGTCTTGAGCGCAGCCAAATATGGTAAAAACTCGACAGCAGCAAAGTGTCGTGTGACACTGCGTTAAACTTCCTTTTTCAGTTGTTGGCATAATTTAAATGTTGGTGAGAGCAATACTTATATGGTGAGTCGATACACTGCTGTGACCTTGTTCAGTACACGTCAGAGATGAAACCAGTAAATGTGATGCTTTCTGTGCATTTGATGGGAACGTGCAGCCATTTTGTCCCAGAAGTCTATGCTGACATATGCTTTTAAAAAAATATATATAAATATAGATTTGCAAGCATAAAGGTCCTATATTACGCAAAATGGAGTCTTGTGAGATTTAGGGCAAGTTATAATGTTATCTCATCAAAAATATACCTAGAGTTGTGTTTTGTTTCATTCACACATGTCAGAGTAACCCTTTCTCATTGGTCTGTCTGCAAAATGTATTTACATGCACAAATAAAGCAACTTAACTTAACCTATATAACATCTCTGAAGCTCAAAATGCTCTGTTCCACCTTATGATGTCATAAGGTGACATAGTTTTCAAGTTAATAGCTACCTTTTACCTTTTACTTCAGTAGAGATTTGGCAATTCCAGGGCTGAGATCATCCAAATGATTGTAGTGAAGGTGAATGGAGTTTAAAAACACAATGGAACACTTCCTGTACTGAGTGCTTTCTGTTTGAGAGAAGAACTCATCTTAAATTTGCCGGATCTTTGTGTTAAACATGTGTGAATGAAACAAAACAACTCCAGGTCTATTTGTGATGAGGAAACCACATTAGAACATAGATAAGAAAATAGCATTATTGTGTAATAAGTGTGAGACGTTATCTAAAAGCACTAAATTGTCCTGCATTATAGTCTGTAGCCTGTGTTTGTATGGAGCACACTCCTTTGGTTTATACAGTAAATGTATTGTCGTGTATAATTCCTTTCCTTCATTTTAATCAAATGAATGAAAGGAATTATACACGACAATGCATTTATGTACATGTTAAACTCACTCCTCTCTCACTAAAGCACCAACATAATCAATATAACATGCTGTAGTGTAGATCGTATTGTGGTTGGTCAGTATTGAATTGGAAATAGCTTCTACAGTAGCTAAAATGGACTGAAAATGTACTTTAAAGTAAAAACTATTAAATGAAATGCACAATGGCAGTATATATTTCTAGTAGTAAGAATCAAACTGGCAACTTTTGGGTGAGAAATTTTTAACTGACTAATACCAACTAATAACACTCCTAATTTGTCACATAAATATAAAAATCTATTTATATTTTTTCCATGTATTTAATTAAAGTACAGTATGTCCACAGTACAGATATATTATATAAGTCTGTTGTGTGTTGTCTGTATCTCTATTATGATGTGTTTTATTGTCTGATAATTAGGAAGGGTGTGTTAGAATACCAATTGTTGTTGGTTCTTGTCTCCAAAATTTGTAAGAAGCACTTTTAAACTCATCTCAGTGAATAATTTGGATGCTTTGAAAGCATGAGGTAAGTGAGGAATAACTTTGGACCCCTGAATATGAAGTAATTTTGTTTTCACATTTTTAGGACACTACAAATCAGTTACAGCTCCTTCAATAAGTTTTCATTACTGATTTTTCCATACCTTGTTGAGGGGCAGCACTATGAAGGCTCCTCCCCCACTGGCGTCCACAATCATGGCCACAAACTTGGGGTTGACGGAGCAGAAATTGCTGTCCCAGGTCATCTGCGAGATGCGTATGTCATCGTAGCACTGATCGGCCTTCACGGGCTGACCGAACACGTGACGGAACTTACTGGACCGCACCACCTTTCTCGACATGGTGAACTGGGAACAACAGAAAAACAATACAAAATAAAAGTTATAAAATGAATGTTACAGTGGTTTTGGGGTTAATTATATCTGGTGTCATATTTAGACAGACTTTTTAGAGCTTTCTACTGTGTTATAATATTCAATCATCAAAAACATGGCTGAAGAGGTTTCATATTTCATCCATGCATGTTTGAGCATTTAGCGATCTCTCCCAGACACTATTCAAACCCTGCTTTTGGTAGGCAGTGCAGTATGATCCTATAAACTAACTTGTTATTACTGGCGAGCATTTTCAAAATAATAAAAGCTAACATGGTGATCTATATACTGTTATTTATGTTATGTTATTATGCAATTAATACCCCCATAGAAGTGTAACATTGTCTCTTTAATGTAATTTTACATCTTTTATGGCAATCTTATGATCTGGATATAGGTTCCTGAGCACTTTAAAAAGTGAGACAAAGCCTACACACTACACACACCCAAACTGCCTTTAATGAATGACAATGTTTCTATGAGTGGACCAGACGAAGATCCACTGATCGAAAAACTGTCACTCTCTATGTCCACTGCAGTAGCCTTGCACCAGGGATGTGCGTATACTAGGGATGTAACGATATCCAAATCTCACAGTACGATATTATCATGATATGCATCTCATGGTACGATATTTATTGCAATATTTTGAAGAGGTTAATATAATTGTAGATGGGGCACCTTTTTGGTTTTAAAATACCTTGACAAGGTTTTGGTGTGAATTATTACTGTCATAATCCCAAGAATTCAAGTAAAAAACATCTCTTTTCATGTTGTCTGCACTGAAATGGATCATGGGATATGTAGTTCCCTATGTTTATACTATAAAACCATGCATTTAAGCAAAGGAACTTGTAATTCAGTATATTGTGACAGCCCATGATATTATTGTGAGACTTTTGACTATACGATATCACGATATTTTGGTTATTGTTACATCCCTAGTGTATACCTTTACCTTTTATGACCCCTGAGCACTACACTCTGCTCCTGAGAGGTTGCTCCAGCAGCACTGGTTGAAGAATTGGTCAAATGCAGAAATTGAAATTCTTACACAGGGGATTAATAAAAATATAACTTCACCTTCCTTTCACTGGCAATCGAAAAAGTCCTGTCTTTAAGTGGAGCCAAGTCCACTTGTATTCATGGAGTACTTTCTCAGTCAACCAAAGTGCTGTGGAATTTAATTATATTCAAAGATGCACTATGCAACGTTCCTGGTGGAGGGGAAAACCTTCTTGTCTTGTATGGTATCCACAAGTATTTTCAGTAATAAACCTGTAATTTAATAAATGGTGTCCTGGAAATATAGGAATTGTCTGGAGTGAGGGAAGTTTCCATGTCTCTGTTTAGTTGTTGTAGTGGCCCATGAACATGCAATGATGAAAAATGAAAAGTTAAATAGCAAATTATCTCCTTTACATATTTATTAACAACTGAGATACTAGATGCCAATCCTGAACTGCACCAATCGCAACATCAGAAAAAGATAAAATAAATAAAGATAAAACTCCCATAAAAACTAGTATTGTAAATTGTCATCAAGCCTGCAACACGAAAGACACCCAAGGCGAAAAGCTAAAAAAAGGGAAGTAAGTAACATCTTTCAAACATCTTTCATAAGTACATCCCGTTGGTAGTGACAGTAACGCAAACTTCACATCACTCTTGATCTGAACTAAAATACAACCTCATAAGACATAACTACTGTTCACTATTTAACAAAGTGTCTAGAAACTTTATATTTTAGCGCAGCATGTTTTCACGACTGTTAAACCACTTCCTCGATCACACGCACCAAAACCTCTGTATTTCCTGTGTTACCTTATTAGTCATTCACGCTAGTGTCAATGCCATTTCTCACACCCTTTCCTTCATAAACAAGTATCTTACAAAAATCAAAGCTATATTTTACCTCCATTTGCAGCGACAACATTGGTATCTTCCAGGATTTCCTCGTTCGAAATCGCAAGCCACATCACAAGACTGTTCCCTATACTCCTCTCCTCTCTGTCTTGCCACTGTTTTGGCCCTAACTCAATAATCCTTCATAAAGTGGAGACTAATGTTATCAGTGGGTAAAGGCAGGTCAATAATACAGGCCCACTGCTGTCTAACCTGCTCAAAGTGGTGGAAATATTGGACTATGCTATTTATTTATAGGAAATGTTGATGTGGCATGGACAGTAGTGGGGTAATATTAGAGTGCTCAGGTTAAGAAAGTTTGTGAGTAACAATAATGTAAGATTTTGTCATAATATAACACTTTTTTAATGTTTTTTTTTATTGCATGTTAACTGTTTACAGCTATTACATGTAGTACTTGGGGTAATCAATGGAACTTTATGAGGCAGTTGAATTTTGAGCGTATTGAAACACTTAAAGATTCACCGTGTAACTTTTCTGGTGGAGGGGAGGGTCTGCCACGTGCTTGTCTCCACTCTGTGACAATTGCTTTGCTTGGAATGTTCCACAGGATGGCATTAAACGTATCCATTTTGCATTTACTCAACTACAGGCGTTTTTATTGCTGAAAAAATATCCTGAAAAACGTGCATTCTTAAAGTGTGGGCTCGCCTCTCCACAGATCTGACCTAGCCTGGAAAATCCGGGAAGAGCTGTTTGTGTATTTTTTATTATAGATTGATATCAGTCTGGTTCCTGCGCCCTTTTCTGTGTTTCAATGTGATCGTCCAATGGAATTTCTAGTTTCAGTGATGCACGAGAAAGGAAAGAGCTCATTGGTCACATTTAATTTACAAATAAATTCAAATTGATCTCATGCCAGACTAACAGAGTTTAAATTTGCTCTTTGATTCTGCGGAAACCTGTGATGATTTTCAGTCCCCTGTGAAATTTCTTTCTTTAATTTTGACTTTTCCTTCTTCTTTGATAAGGTGAGCACGTGTGTCCTCGATTGGCACCTCCCAATCACACCCATCTGAAAAATGGGAGATTCACCAGTGACCAGACTCATGTGTGTTAACTACTGAAGGAAAGTCAAGTTTGGATCCCAGGCAAGATCTGACCTGTGGCCTGACCTGGAGGCATTAGCTGATTGTCTCACTGATGTTTAATGCTACACTGCAGAACATTCCAAAGTAATAACATCTCCATGGAGACAAACAGCTGACAGATAATATATATATATATATATATATATATATATATATATATATATATATATATATATATATATATATATATATATATATATATATATATATATATATATATATATAAAGAATATGGAATAGTTTTTGCATGACTTTTCCATTGTAAAGTTATGTTGAACTGTTGAACTGATCTTAACATGATGCATTTAAAAGTAGCAGATCATGTGCATTTCAGGAAGCTGCAAAGGGTGTCAATGCTGCTTACTTGTAAACCACACATATTTTTTAAAAATCAACTTCCTTTTTTATGTAAACTTGCCTTTTAATGCTGGATTTACACGCCTGTAGTTAATGCAGATGACTTTGTAAAACTCAGACCTAGTCTAGTCTTTGCAATGGGCACTTTCAGAACACAAAGTGAGACGTAGTTTTGCAGCAGAGAGCGGAACTAAATAAGGAAGTTACAGGGTCATTCAGTTTTGCAAGCTTCGTATTTCTAACAGGACATTTTTTATTTTTAAAACACAACAATTTGAATGCGATGAATGCAAAAATTTGACAATTCTATAATACCAGTGTACTTATGTGCAACAATAAACCACCAATGGACACAAGTTTGGCCTGTGATACTGCACTTTACTATTGTATTTTTGTTTAAACTTTTAGGTTCTGTAGTCGTTTTTTTTAGCTTAAATTATAACTGCTTTTTGTTACCCATTCCCTCTTATATTGTAAGCACAAAACTTGCTAATTTCTCTGCATGGGTTTCAGCTTCCTGTTATATGGTGCCATTTTAAGGACTGCTGACGATTCAAAAGATGTTGAACATGTTTTAAATTGTTAATCGCTATGACAACGGTCCTAACTTTTCATCATTCTCAAAGCCACGAACAAAACAAGTCCAGTAAAATCGTATATATTATATTCATGCATTCATTCATGTTCCAGCTTCCTACTGGTTTGAGAATGACAAAAAATCTGCACCGTTTCCATAGTGATTAATAATTTCAAACTAAATAATATGACATGTTTTGAATGGAGGAAACGTGTTGCATATAACAGGAAGCAGAAACCTCAGTGAACTTGCAACATTTTCAGGACTGTCTCATTCCAAAGCTGTAATATGTTGGTCTAAATTGTTAATCGCTATGGCAACGGTCCCCATTTTTCACCATATTTTAACGGATACTACATAGCTGGCTCTTACCTGGTTGTTACGGGGGGCTGTTGAGGTTGAGAGGTCTGGAGGGCTGCACCTTGTCGGCAGAATGGGAGCTCACAGCAGTTGGAGGAGGGTGAAATATAAAGAATGTTTCAACATGGAGGAAGTGAGAGCTCAGGCCGAGGTGGAAGTAGTATCAGGGGCGGGCACAGTGTATTTTTGGGTCAAATGTTGAACTGCAGAAGAGAGAAGCCGAGACAATGATGCAAGAAACAACTGAAATAATGTCCTATATTACACAAAATGGACTGCATGTGAGCTTTGAGCCTTGTTATAATGTTATTACTTAATCAAAAACAGACCTGGAGTTGTGTTTTGGTTCATTCACACAGGTTTGAGTAAGCCTGGTGTATTAGTTAGTCTAATCTCCAAAGTTCAAAATGCTCTGTTCCACCTTGTGATGTCATATAGTGGTAGTTTTCAGGTTAACTTTTGTTCAGTAAAGGCTGGATTAAAATCATCCAAATGATTATAGTGAAGGTGTATGAGGTTTAAAAACACAGTGGAGGAGCATTTTGTGTATTACCACATGACATCACAAGGAGGAATAGAGCGTTTTCTGTTTGAGGGATGAACTCAGTTTGAATATGCAGGGTTTTTGTTTAACATTTGTGAATGAAACAAAACAAAACTCCATTTATGTTTTGGAGAAGACACAACATTACAATTTCAGAAAATAGCGTAACATGAGACCTTAAACAAACAAACAAACAAACAAACAAAAACAAAAACAAAAAAAAAAACAACAACACACTAATCACTGACAATTAGAAATGATTGCATCTTGATCTTGATTAAAATGTGATTAACTGCACAGCCCTACAAGTACAAATCAAGCAACATTATTAAATACTGCCAAAAAAAAAAAACCCAAACCCCAAAACAAATAAAACAAAACAAAAACATGAAAAACATGAAAAACATGAACCCTCGAGATAGTATTGGAGGTATTTTTGTCTCATGAATATTCACAAATACACAGATGATGATCTACAAATAGTTATTGATTTGTGCATGTGTTTTGATATTGGAAATTGGTGAATTCGTGTAACTGCTGACCCACAAATGCAAATCACATTTAACAAACTTTTTCAGTGTTACAAATGAAATAATTTTTTACAAATGAAAAAATATATATTTACAAATACACATCTATTTGTAAAGACCAAAATACAAGTTACAGATATTAAATTTGCATTTGTGGATATCAAAACACACGCACAAACCAATGACTATTTGTAGATCATCATCTGTGTATTTGTGAATATTAATGAGACAAAAGTACCACCATATTGTCCATACAGTCTAGTCTGACCATGTTCAGTTTAGTATTATACCTCTGATGACGTAGACCAAGATAACAAGGACTGAGCTGGCAGTGTGGAGCTGGCACAGCACAGACATCTCCATGGAAATAGATCAGTTTAATGCCCTACTGTGAACAATGTGAACTTAAAAAAATCAAAACATAACTTAATCAAATGGATTTTTTTTTTTAAATCTCTTGCAACATTTTTAAATAAAGTTGATGTAAAAAAGACAAAAAACACCAGAGCATTTAAAAATATAGACTTCGTTTATTGCACAATCGTTGCTGGAGGAGGGTGAGAGCCTGTCTGTTACAAGGCTGCCATTTTAGACAAGAGGGGGACAACAGAATTTATTCCAGATTGAAAGATTCCACAGTTTTAATCTCAATTCACATAAACGTCCACCAGAGGGAGCCACACTATTTAAAACGTATTAGAGTAACAGACAGACCCTCGTTTAGCTCCCTTCTTTGTCCAATATAAAGAGCTTCTAAACCTGTACAATTACATAGAGTGGTGTCAGTAGATTTCACAACACATACAATTTTAAACAGGCTGTCCGGCACCCGTTATGATTTAAAAAACTCAAATTTCTTTGTTAGTTTCCTTACAATATATTATAGTTTTAACATACACACAAAAGGACAAATATCAGGTCTGAAAATTCTGCCCTCCAAACATGGATTAACAATACTACTAGTTTAAGTCACTGAATAATTACATATATCGGCCTTTATTTTTATGATTTGTAGCATTGCAAATTGGTCATATACTGTTATAGAATGTTATACAATGGAAAAAATGTAATTCAGTGTAAAATTTGAGTTAATTTCAGCAAAAAATCTGGTTCAGTCATGTATTATAAGTATTGTTCTTTTGTTTTATTTTTCATTAACTATTTACCAGAAGACAGCTGTACCTTTCACGCCCCAGTGACAACTTAAAGACTAACTGACTGTGAATAATAAATAGTGAAGCATTATAGTATATAGTATAGTACAGTACATAGTATATAGTATATCGTAGTATAGAATCCACATGAAATTTGCTGGACTAGACTGAATTTACCATGTTTTTATGTCAATTCCTTAAAGGTGCATTGTGTAACTTTTCTGGCAGAGGGTCTGTCAAATGCTTTTCTCCATGAAGATGTTTTTATTCATCCTGAAATGTTCCACACTTTGACATTTAACAGCTCTACTTCACATTTATTAAATTACAGCTGGTTTTATTACACAAAAATACCTAGAAAAATAGGCATTGTAACTGTGAGTGGGGTTGCCTCTCCACAGATCTGACTGAAGATAGAAAGGTTTAATGCCATACTGTGAAACATTCCAGACAAAGCACTTACATCTCGATGGAGAAAATAATATGACGGATCCTCCACCAGAAAAGTTACACAATGCACCTTTAAGATAACCCCTAAAATCTATAATAAATGTGTTTTCTAAATGTAGTCTAAAGTTAAATTGGTAGACAATGTGCATTTCTTGAAAATAAAATATGATGTTTTGATTCAAGGTGACAAAAATTGCTTCAGGTTCAACTATTTTAACACCACTAATATGAAAAAATTAAAAAATAGTTCCAGAATGTTGCTAATACACAATTAAATAAAAAATGTCCAAGCTAAAACACAATTCTTGGAACAACATTACATTTAATCTTAAGCATTGACTTCTGGAATATATGCAGTCTATGGTTTAAAGACACAGCGCCATCATCTGGTAACTTTGAACAATGCTTGTAAATTGTAAATTCAGCAAACAGCTATTTTGGGAAATGTAGATCAAGCCAAGCCAAATATTTGACCATTAACTTTGATAGAAACCTCAACAATAAGCATCACTGACACTAGCAGTACCGTCGCCATGTTGGTAAGGGCAGAATCCGTCCCGTTTGACTGTTTCTCAGCTACTGTGGCGGCTCCCTGAGAAGTGGGATACCAGTCCACGTTATAGCTAAGCCCTCAGTACATTTATAATAGCTGCTGCTGCTAGTTGCACCACAAACTTAAACTTATATCAAACCTCGGTATAATTCTAATAATATTAACAATGCATAGATAGACTGGGAGGTATCACCGTAACATGCCTGACCACAAATCAACCAATATTGTCACGTCTCCTCCGATAAGTTGTGATCTAAAAAGACTCGAATATAGGGTTACAAAACTTCAAACTTGACATTTTCCACATTTTTTTTTCATAATTGACACAAGACAGTCTTCGTAGATAGTGAATTATGGTTGTGGCTGACGTGGTGAGCTCACAGCAAGAATTAACCAGTCTCACAAGTTAAGATTTTCGGGGAATATATGCAAATGTTACACAGAAATTCAGCTGTTTAAGACCTGGTTTTGCATAGGAGATTTGGTAGATTTCCATTGGTCATTTGGACATTTTGAGAGGTTTTAAACTGGTCTTGACAATTCATCATTACAATTCAAGTTTTATAGCTAAGCAGGTTCAAAATTGCATTGGGGAATTCTCGTATTCATGGGGCTAAACATGCATTTTCAGAAACTGTTTTTTCCTTGGGCGTTATTTGCTGCTTACATCAGCCTATTAGCATTCAGATAAACCTAAGCGAATGCGTATATTTTCGTTTTTCTATTGTCTATATTGCGCCATCTAGTTCTGAATATGTGAAGAAATATTGTATAAAAAAGAATACATCATTTGGAGTGAACCATTTTACTGTATTGATACTTTGCAGCTTTCCTTGGGGGTGTGATGCTAACTAGAGGCACTGTTCTGACTTAATCTGAGCTTTATTTTAACACAATCTGACCAGAAAGAGCTGATTTGGTTGGTTTGGCTACAACAGATGAGCTGATTTGTGCGCTTAAACAAGTCTCTTACACATAAAATTAGCCAACAGTGTTTCAATCAGTCACTCTCACGTTTTTTAATTGAAAATCAAACACCTAAACAGGACCATGAACGCTCATATAGATCAAAAGCTCCTGAAAATGTGCTATTTAAATCCATTTTGCGTTTTTTTTTTCCTGAGATTACACACAGTTTGAGCTTTCAGACAATCTCAAACCTTTTTTATTCTGCTGAACATTCTGCCAGTAAAGCCTACATGTGGAACACCCCCAGCGTGATGTCACTGCAAAGTATCAATTGTCAATTTAGAGGAACGCTGAGTCCTAAAAATGGTACGCAAAGTAGTAGAGTTACACAGAAAGAAGAGATTGAACCCTCACGTTTGTTACTATGAGACAAGACAATTGTTCAAAGCACAAACTGGTCTGTTACATGTATTAAGACAAAATTGGACATCAGTATCTGTAGTAGTTTTGCCATTGCTTGCTTTCAAATTGTCAAAAATGAAAATGAATGATAACCAAAACAAAGTAATGTGGTGCAAAGTTAAACATCTTTCCTTATAGCTCATTTTATTTTATTGTTTATAATTATGGAATTTTTTTTCAAATGGTATCTAAGTTACAATTTTTCCAATCTATTAAAATACCATTAAAAATCTATGCAAAAATCTGTTTACCAATGTATTTATGAACATTGTAGTTTAGTCTAAAATAGTCCCAAGCCTAGATTACAGAGTTTTTTGCAAATTAAAGCCCCACTATGGCACATTTCAGCCAATAAAGTTAAAAAGATAACATAAAGTACAATTTTAATGCCTCATTGACAGTTTAAAGATGCACTGTGTCACTTTTCTGGTGTAGGGTACGCCACCTTTTTTGTTGTTAGGGAGATGTTTTTGCTTTGCTTGGTATGTTCCACAGTATGGCATTAAAGTCGATTCAGCCGTTGTTTCATTAAAGGTGATTTTATTGTTCAGAAATACCTTTAAGAATATGCTCGGTCTGCGCGTCTGAATAGAAACAGATCAGTTTAATGCCATACTGAAACATCCCAGGCTGAACAGTTAAGTACATCTACATCGATACTAAAATGTGACTTACCCTCCCCAAGAAAGGTTACGCAGAGCAGCTTTATTATGGATTTCATTTTAGTGAATTTGTAGTATTTTTTATGAAATTATTTAGCTGTTAAAATTTTGCTATGCCATTTATAAATAATGTTTGGGACACAAGAGCCTTTATAAAATTAACCAGTAGAGGGCGCTTTAAACCACGTCTTTATACAGTACAATGCCAGATGCGTTCAACAGAAACTTGTAGTTGATAAAACTGAAAAAATAAATAAATAAATAAAAATAATAAAATTTTAAAAAATTAAAAAGTTCCCATAACATTTTAAATCTAACGTACTCCCATGCAGTTTCATTCAGATGCCATGACACATTTTATTTTTCTATCAGTAGTATCCCATATGTTTTTAAAGTAGCAGACTAGCATAGCACGTAGCATTTTGTCACTAAAAGGGGCTGTGTGATCTGTGTGGAAAATGTATCTTCACCTTTGAGCGTTGTTAGCACAGGAAGCTTGGGAGGAACTTGTGAGAACAAAAAAAAAAAAAAAAAAAAAAAGAAAACCAGACGTGTAGGCTATAGGTGTAACCATTGGCAACAAAAATGACATGTTGCAAAGTTCATTTCAGACCATCTCCAACAAAACAAACACACAAGTTGATCCCCTTAACAGTTCACCAGAAAACATAAATAATAAATAATCATACAGAAATTTCAAAACACAAAGCAACAAATGCTAAAGGGTCCATTCCTCTTACATTTAAAACAGTGCCATTATAGTGCAAGTTAAACCCGACATACATTAATGCTATGGACAAAATAAATAACATGAAAACATAACTCACAAATGAAAATCTTTGTAAACATGTTCTAAATTGTCAAAAGCTAAAATTGCATTAAAAAACGGCTACATATCGCAGTCACTTTTGGTTGAATTGAAACTTGTTAAAGGCCCATATGACTATTTTCTGATGTTGTTTCCTCATCGCAAAACATATCTGGAGTTGTGTTTTGTTTCATTCACACACGTTTAACACACTAATGATAAAGGTCTGACTCAAAAATGTGTGAATTAATCAAAAAACACAACTCGGGGTATGTTTTTTGAGGCGGTAACAACGTTCTAATATAATTTACGGTTCACAAGAGTAAATTTTGCGTAATATAGAACCTTTAAAGTTAGTAAAAGTAGAGTAGAAGTTTTATTATGTAGTAAAGAATAGAAATATAAAAGACTAAAGCATTATAGCCACCTATAACAGAAGAATAAAATTTTTTCAAAATGCTAAAATAAGTTAGGCAAGAATGAGTGAAGTAGTTTGACTTAAAGATGCAACTTTTCCACTGGAGATTTTATTGCATTGCCCAGAATCTTCCACAGTATGACAAATGTATTTATTAGGTTAGAGGTCAGATCTGTGGAGAGGCAGCCCCCCTCATAGCAAGAATGCATGTTTTCCCGGTATTTTTGAGCTATAAAAACACTTGTAATTGAATAACATTCCAGACAAAGCAATAACACCACCATGGAGATAAATGGGCGGCGTATACTGTACCTCTTACCAGAAAAGTTACATAGCAGCTTTAATTTAGCTGTTTAATTTTGCAACGGTGATAAAAGATTTTCTAATTTTTAGTATCTTGTATTCATATAATTTTTCCTAGAAGTTTCCAATGCCCAACTTGTCCCTGAAGTGGATATTGTCCGGGTGACCATAAAACCGTTGTGTAAAAGAAAAACATGTGCCAAAATGAAAAGATAATCCCGGATAATCTCAACGAAGCTAAACATTTCGGTGAACTCTGACCGCGATTATTTGAAACAGTGAACCCGGGGCTTTCAGACAATACGACTCAATCAGATTATGCAAAAAGCCATATCGCACAAATGAGGAGGATAAAGCAGTGAGTTAACCAAGAGAACATGATTTCAAATGGGTAACTGTGGAATAAAATGCAACTTTTCTGGTAGAGGGTCGGTCACCTTCTTGTCACCACAGCGATGCTATAAAACACCCCCCCTGTATTGCATTTAACTCTTCTCGGATGTAAGCAGCTGGCCTCATCAGGTCAAATTACAGGTCAGATCTGTGGAGGCTGTCCTGCTCACACTCACAGTAAGAATGCAGGTTTTTCAAGGTTTAAGATACAAAAAAATGACCTGTACTTGAATCAATGCTAGAGTTTAATGCCATAGTGTGGAAAATTTCAGACAAAGCAATGATATCTCCATGGAGACAAGCAGGTGGCAGACCCTCCACCGGAAAAGTTACATAGTGCACCTTTAATCTTTGAAATTACACAAGAGTTTTCAGTCATTTTTCAAGTTTGCATTGATCGATTTCATGATTATAACTTATTTAATTTTGACACTTAATAAAACATACAGTATGTGCAATGTAAAACAGTACATGTACTTTCAGTGCATGTACTACCTGTATTTTCTATTAAATTTGGCAAAAATGTGTTAAAAAGACCATTTAAAACAACATAATGTGATTTATAGTCCTCGCTTCGTTCAAATAAACACATTCATGACGTTTTAGTCATGATAAATGCTGCTCAGTGCATTACATTTCAGTATCATGGAAACATTTGAATAACAAACTAGTTTACAGGACTATGTGTCAAATGAAACAAGTCTGTGTTTCATAAACGATGTTGTAGATCAGAGACTGGGACAGAATAGTCAACTGATTAAAGGTCCTATATTACGCAAAATTGACTCTTGTAGCTTTAAGGCATGATATAATATTGTTACCTCATCACAAATATACCTGGAGTTGTGTTTTGTTTCATTCACATGTTTGAGTAATCCTTTATTATTAGTCTGTCTACTTTTCCATAGCTCAAAATGCTCTGTTCCACCTTGTGATGTCATGTGGTAATACAGCAAGTGCTCCACTGTGTTTTTAAACCCTATACACCTTCACTAGAATCAGTTGGACTTTCTCAGACGTGGAATTTCCAATCTCTGTTTAACAAAAGGTAAAAGGTAGCTGTTAAAAACTACTACTTCATGACATTACAAGCTGGAATAGAGCATTTTGAGCTTTAGAGATGTATACAACAACATTATAACACACTTAAATGTTCTCAAAAGTCAAATTTGCAAAATATGGGAGCTTTACAGAGTAGTTATTAAAAAGTAACACAACTTTTAAAATGTCTGCTTTTTCATACCACGCATTCACCATAGTGCATTTCTTTCATTGTGCATTCTTAAGAGACAGCTTTTCATTTCCACACAGAACAATAGTGCAAAACAGCCTAGCAAAATTAGAAAACTCTAAACACAATGTCAACTCAAAAACAACAATATAAGACAGGAATGAACCCTTTAGCTTCCCCGGTCCACACACAAACTCATTTAGAGGCAATGGCAAAAAACTATATGTTATAACCAGAGCTGGGCACCGTTCAAAAGTATTCAATCCAGATTTACCTGTCTGAAATCTGTGGGTTCAGATTTCTGTTTATATGTGACATTTTGAAGAATTGTTGATTGTTAATTCCTATAGTAACAGTGCTGAATTTTCATCTTTCTGAAAACCATGGATATCAGGTTTACAATACTTGCTGCATTCATCAATAATAAACAGTAGGGATGTAAAGAGTATTTGGTTAATTGATATTACCATATTTCCAGGTAAGCCGTGGTTTTGATTTGAATTATGAAAAACTGTGAATATTTGTTATATTGTGATGTTTCTTCTCACAAAAAATACATTACACACAAAACATTTTACATTATTTTGAGCAAAATTATAAGTTTTAAATTAAAACTAGTAGATTTGGTCATTGATAAGCACCATGATTGCAAGTAAACTTTTAAAATCTTCGTATATTATCCATGTTGACATCTAAATGAACTATGCTGTAAATGATTTTGTTTTGAGAAAGCCAATATATATGTAATTTTGTGAAGACAGGATTGTGATTACTCTTGAAATTACAATGTATAGCTGTGTAACTTTCTAATGGAGGGTCCGCCATCTGCCTGTCTTCATGGAAATGTCACTGCTGTCTCTAGAATGTCCCACAGTATGGCATTAAACATTTTCTATTTCCATGGAGACAAGCCCACACTGCCTCCAGACCAGGTTTGTGGCAGACCCCCTGCCAGAAAAGTTACAAAGTGTACGTTTAATAGCATTTTATACTTTTCAAGCAAGTACCAAAGACAATCAGCAATGCTAAAACTTTCAGCAGCTGTATTGTACCTTCAAATATTATTCAACGGTGCCCAGCCCATGTTATAAATCCTTTTTGTTGGCAATGAAATTCAAAACCGCGTCAAAAACACATTAAACTAGTGAGATATGGATTTGGTGCATAGGTAAGGACAGGAACAATGGAGCAGGTCTGTCTAAACGATTGATATAATAAAGGATATAGTCAGACAAAAGCATGAAACTGGGCTTTTAACAGTGGGTTTGAAAATGTTGTACAAGAGAGATACCAAATAGGGGTAATTGTGTTTTTGAATAGGGCTGCACAGAATATAGAGAATTCAAATCCGATTATCAGATCAAACAAACAATTAAATTAAATGTACTGCGCTTAGTAACCTATAAAGCAAGGTACACAGACATAATAGCAAGGTACAAACTATTCTAATTTGACCAAAAACAAGTCCATAATAGTTCTTTAATCTCATTTCTCCATTTCAAAGTTCTTGGTTTCAATCACTTGGGACAGTTTTGACTAATCAGAGAATGAATCTCTGCATTATATAGATAGCTAAAGCAGTTAATAAAGGTGCACTGTGTGACCTTTTGGTGCTAGTTGTCTCCATGGTGTTGTTATTGCTTAGCCTGGAGTGTTCCACAATATATCATTAAACTTTAAACTAAACTAATCTCCACGGTAAGAATATGTGTTTTTCCATGTGTTTTTAAGCAACAAAAACACCTGAAGTTGAATGAATGCAAAATAAATAGGTTTAATGCCGTACTGCGTAATAACATCTCCATGGAGACAAGCAGGTGGCAGAACGCACCTTTAATATAGCTATAGAAAATTAAAAGTGTTTTCTCATATTGTACAGCCCTATTTTTTTTTTTTTACCAAACTACTTAAATAACTGATTTGAAATGTAAATTGTCTAGTAAAATGTCCTTAATAGAAAACTATTCAAAACTGTAGACATCTTTTTACAGACAACATATCAGCTGACTTAAACTGACACCAGTAATGGAGTAAGAGTGGGTACAGGGCCAGAGGTTTGATGGTTCAACTCTGGCTACAACCATTACACACTGCCACTGCGTCTTTGGGCAAGGCACTTCGTCCACCTTGCCTTCAGAGTCAATACCACAGCTTTTCATCATGGACTTAACTTTAACATAACAATATATCAACACTTCATGCACCACTGAAAAAGCCCAAATCATTTCTTTCACTTATTCGAGCGCGTACAGACGTTAATGGAGGCCCTGTCCAAACTAAAGCCTGTATTTTCTTGTTGTAAACCACATGCAAATATTCTCTGTATTGTCAGTTGGAGCCTAAAGCCAGGAAGCAATCTCTCTACAAAGAAAGACAGTGAAAAAAAAAACCAATGTCCAAACAGGAAATCATGTACAATGTTGTTTTTCCTCCATATTTTAATCTATAGAGCTACATTACAAAGACATTTTAGGTTTGTTTTATGGTCCTATTGCTATGGCCCTGAAACATTTCTTATATTTCATTGTAGCATGAATGGACTTGGTTCTCAATAGGATCTAAAGCTTCAGATGGAAATGTATTATTAGTTATATTTATCTGTTTACACATTTCATGGACAATGTTGAAATAAATCTTTGGAATATTGTTAAGCTTTTCAATAAAACACTAAAAATGTTGTTCTAAAAATGTTTAGCTTTCATTCCGAATTTCAGATCAGGTTTTGTATATATATAAATATCTATATAGCACACCAGTTTTACTCCATAGCCTGGTAACTCTAAACAATATCATTATGTACCCAGATGCTCTTTGTTTTTATTATGATGATGATTATTATTACAGTGATTTACATTTGGGTTGTTACTTATTACCCTGCTGTTTTTAGGGTAAACTGTTCATTTAACAACCTGTCACCCATGGGTGCTTGCCACACCCTATTTAAGTTGGCTGCCTAGAGCTCTTCCTCTATTTGCCTGTTGAAGATCTAGGGCTGAAAACTTCCTGATGTCCCAAATGAATTCACAATTTGCAAGTAAAACGGTGTGCAGGATTCTTCTCTGTCTAGATCAGGGTTTGTAAAAGTTGTAGTTGTTGTTGTTGACATATTTGACAATTTCCAAAAGTTGAAGCATTTCTTTTCAAAGCTAAATATGCCAAACTAGGAAATTTCAGGTTTCAGTTTGAAATATTTTCTTTCACTTTTGGGCAGAAATTGAAATGCAATTTATTGAAACAGGAATGAATAATGCTGGTCAAATCTGCAAAAACCTAAAACTAAAAGATGTACTAAAATGTCCTCAAAAATTGCTCAGATCTATAATGTTAAGTGAAAGTGATTCTAACTAAAGTATTTTAAATTAAATTCTTTTTCTCAGTGCTGTCTTGATTGAGACCTGCTCTGACAGCCTCCTGTACATTTTCACACCTAAAGCTGCAGCAAAGTGACAGAGACACAAACCCTGTTCAAACCCAGGGGCCGAATGTCACAAGAGGAAAAACAGAAAGCAGTCTGTAGTTAGTCAAGTACATGTCTTTCAAGATGCACTACATAATTTTTGTGGTGGAGTGTCGCCAGCTTGTCTCCATGGAGATGTTATGTATGCCTATATATTTAGATACAATTTGAGTAATTTTTTTCTTAACCAAATTCATTTAAATGTTGTATAGAATTGTCCAGTGACCATACATTTATTTCTTCATAATTGAGTTTTGAATTTCCACTTTGACTAAGAAGTCGCTATAAGTCAAACTGCTAATATTCTAAAAAAGTTTTTGATTTCAGCTTCCCGTTTCCAATTTCGAGGACATTTTCCACTTCAAAACATATACTTAGTTTTAAAATGTTAATCCCTATGGCAGTTAACTGTAGCTTTAACTTCTCATCATTTTGAAACCCACAGATAGATAAACTTAATTTATTTGATTTACTTTTTGCTCCTGTCTGATGCCTTATTTGTCATGCTCTATTACTTGACTAAACATTTGTATCGCTTAATTTTGCAAATAATAATAAAAAAGATATAATAAATTTTGGAGATTTGTTTTCTGGTTACATTTTGAAAAATCTTAGTTTGGACAAGGCCTTAAAGGGGCACTATGTAACTTTTCAGTTGGGGTTCGTCACTTGCTTGTTTCTACGGATACGTCTCTCTGGAATGTTCCACAATATGACATTAAACGGCTCTACCTTTAACATTTTCTACATTTAATCAATTACAGTTAGTTTTAAAGGGCAAAAATACCTATAAAAACAGGCATTCTGACTGTGAGAGGGGAATCTCTTCATATTCTTCTTCGTTCTATTCTTTGTGAAGATAAAAAGCTTTAATGCCATACTGTGAAATATTCCAGCCAAAGCAATAGCATCTCCATTAAAAAAAAGCATTTGACAGATGCTCCTCCAGAAAAGTTACACAGTGCACCTTACTGCGGTGAATAATTCAAAACTTCTCGAAGACGTTTTTGCCGCTTGCTTCTTTTGCACCTGTATCCCGATGGAGGAGAGAAGTAGACAGTTAAAGATATGAACATTCAAGGACTAACACATGCATAAGTTTCCCCTTTTATTCCTTACATCTCCGCACAGCCCCTCGCCCTATTGTCTTTTTAGTTAGTCCTAAAGTCTGGCATTTGAGGACACAGGGGCTGCTTGGGAGGGGTCAGTCCGTGGGGCAACTGTAACTATTGATCCAGAGCAAGTCGTCTAGCACCCCCCAGTGGAGATAGAGGATGGACCCCACCACAAGCACGTGCATGATCTGATGACTGTTGCACCAGTAGTCAAACAAACCCGGTCTGAACCTCTCCGGGATGCGCGCGATGTTTATGACTCCGCCCAGAACCGCCAGCACGTCCATGGTGACAAAATGGCGGAGCGACGTCGGGCTGCCCCCCCCCACCCCAACCCAGCGCAGGATGAAGAAGGAGAATCGGAAAAGGGCCTGCCAGGCGAAGGAGCGCAGGCGCCGGACGGAGCTGCGCGCGGTGACGGCGCAGTAGATGGCGTGCGTGGAGAGGAGGATGTAGAGGAGCAGCGCCAGGGTCCGGATCACGGGGTAACACAGGAGCGTGCTGTAGACGATCGGCAGCATCCCTGAGAAGAGAGGGAAAAAAAAAGAAAAAGAAGGAAGGAAGGAAGAATAGGAAGAGAGAAGAAGAGGAGAGTCAGAAAAACATATAAAGGTTTGGGTTCACACTTGCAAACTTCAAAACACCACACATGTCAAAACTGAGACAACTGATACTTCTTCATGTATGTCTATGGAAGAATGTTTCTGCAGTTACCATGGCGACACAGTGCACACATTAGCAAACGCAGCCAAAAAAAGGTTCTGAGATTGTCTGAAAGCTTAAGAAAAAACACAAAATGGATTTAAACAGCACATTTTCAGGAGCCTGTGATCAATACAAGCATTCATGGTACCATTTAGGTGTTTGATGTGCAACAAAAAAGGTGAGAGTGACTAACTGAAGAGAAAAAAACCCAAAAAACGTCAGTGCGAGAAGAAGTTGTTTGACAGCACAAATCAGCTCTCCTGTTGTAGTTCCAGATCTTTATGGTCAGATTGTCTAACTTAAGTAACACAGCTTCAGACAGAACAGTGCCTACAGTTAGCATCACATCCCCCAGGGAATGTTGACATCAGCTGCAAAGTATCAATACTGCTCCTGGTGCAGACAGCTCTTCTGATGGTGCTTTCTCGACGGATTCATCTGTACTCAGACTAATGTCCATTATTTAAAGTGCGTGTGTGAGAGAGTGGATAGAGTGGAAGTAAATATTGAAAATAAACGATAATATTTAAACTAATTTATGCCACAAACCACAAAAATTATTCTAAATTTACAATTATTGTTAAAGGCGCATTGTGCCACTTTTCTGGTAGAGGGTTCATAAAATGCTTTTCTTCATAGACATGTTTTGCTTTGTCTGGAATGTTTCACAGTATGGCATTAAACCTTTCTATCTTCATGGAGACAAAACCAGACAAAGTTACAGGTCAGATCTGGGAGAGGTAACCCCACTCATGGTCTGAATGCTTGTTTTTCTAGGTATTTTTGAGCTGTAATTGAATAAATGTAAGATCTGTTGAAAGTCATACTGTGGAACATTCCAGGCAGAGCAAGGACATATCCATATAAACAAGCAGGTTAGTTACACAATGCACCTAAAAAAATCATGAGCTGCAGTACATAAACAGCAGAATTAAACAGTATGTAGTTTGCATCTGTAATAAGTCATAGAAGTTATTCCTTCAACCTTTAATGGATTAAATCTTATCGTATAACAAAAAATCCCCCTTAAATTTCCCAGTCGTGTAAAGAGGATAAAACGATATAGTAGTTATCGTGACAGGCTTAGTTGAGACAGAATCATTTGAATTGTCTCTCTTAAGCACTTGGAGTTACATGCAAAGTGTAAAAAGCTTGATTTGATTTGATAAGCCCGGACTAGACCGTGACTAAACCAGGACTAGACCAAATGGATCAAACCAAGTCTGCATCAGGAAGCCCAATGACGAAAGGTGAGGCTAAGGACACAGTGACATAACTTGAAAAAATAAACTGTGGAAATATAAGTTCTGTACCTCAAAAGTTAAATAACTTGTCAGAGATTCATGGACATATGAGAGAGGATATAATGTCATATGAATAAAAGTAAAAAAAAACAAAACTATAACCACATCCAGAAGGGGCAGGGCTGCGTTTAACTCTAATGCTAACTGGAGGCACTGGTCTGTCTGAAGATCTGTGAGTCAAGTTAAGCTGGAATCTGAGTTTGATTTTAACACAATCTGACCAGAAAGCGCGGACTCGGTTGGAACTACAAAGGTGAGCTCATTTTGTTGAAAATTAAACACCGGGACCATGAATGCTCGTATTGATCACAGGCTCCTGAAAATGTGTTACTTAAATCCATTTTCTGCTAATGTCTGCACTGAATCACCATGGCAACTGTTGAACATTTCAACGAAAGAGAAAACACACACCAAAGTTCTTGTAGATGCGCAAACGCATGGAACAGCAATTTAAAAGTAAAAAAAAATCCATAGCGCACTCAGATGGTTGAAGTAGACTGTGGTCCAAAGCAAGAAAAATGATCTGACGAAGGCTTTTTGATGAAACATTATTTAAAAATAAAAAAGCTTTTGGACATTGGCCATCTGAGTGTGCAATGCATTTTTTCACTTTTAAACTACTGAACTTTCTGCCAATAGAAATACATGTAGAACACCTCCAGTATTTTGTCACTGCTAAGTATCAATAGCCACACATGTTAGTTCTGTGGCACACTGTTGCTAAGGTGAATGAGTTTGCTCTCTCCCTGTTACCAGTTCATAAAATGTACTAACAGGACATTCACAAGTATTTTTATAAGCACTTACTGCATATCTGAGAGGATGTGAGGGTCCATTCTCCAAGCTTCTTATAAATATAAAGCCCCATTTATGGTTTAAATAAGAGATTTTGAAGGGTGTTCATAGTCCGCTCAGCATAAACAGTACTGCTACTTTACACAACTTGAAAGTGCACTATGTAACTTTTCTGGAGGAGGGTTTGCCACCTGCTTATGTCCACAGAGATGTTACTGTTTTGGAATGTTCCACAGAATCTTGCTTTCATTCAATAACACATTTTTTTTTCATTACAAAGACAGACATTGAATATCATGTATTCTTACTGTAAAGGGCTCACCTCTTTATAGATCTGACCTGTAAGTTACTTGCTGCCATGGTGATACGTTTATTTATTTATTTGACAGGTTTGAATATGTTAAATGAATGAGTGAATTAATTGATATGCACAAATAAAATGAAGTAGAATTCCTAAAAATAACGACTCCCTAATAAAGAGTCTCATTACTGCGGAAATAGCAAAGACACATTTAGAGATTTTTTCACACTTAAAATAAATAAACAAAAAACCTATTGTCAAACTCTGCACCAACTCCCACCTCAGAACATTTTTGGATTTCCAAGAGAACCGTTTAATGAACTAAAGCAAGTCTGAAAAGGACTAACTCACAGAAAAAATGTTGTTGTGCTTTCTTAAATTATAAAATGTTCAAATATCCATCCATCCATATTCGTCCGCTTATCCGGGGCCGGGTCGCGGGGGCAGCAGCCTAAGCAGGGACTCCCAGACTTCCTTTACCCCAGACACGTCCTCCAGCTCCTCCGGGGGGACCCCGAGGCGTTCCCAGGCCAGCCGAGAGACATAGTCCCTCCAGCGTGTCCTGGGTCTTCCCCGGGGCCTCCTCCCAGTGGGACATGCCCGGAACACCTCCTGAGGGAGGCGCCCAGGAGGCATCCGGAACAAATGCCCGAGCCACCTCAACTGGCTCCTCTCGACGTGGAGGAGCAGCGGCTCTACTCCGAGCTCCTCCCATGTGACTGAGCTCCTCACCCTATCTCTAAGGGAGCGCCCAGCCACCCTGCGAAGGAAACTCATTTCAAGCGCTTGTATCCGCGATCTCGTCCTTTCGGTCACTACCCAGAGCTCATGACCATAGGTGAGAGTAGGAACGAAGACTGACCGGTAAATCGAGAGCTTCGCCTTTCGGCTCAGCTCCCGCTTCACCACAACTGTCCGATACAGCGACCGCATCACTGCCGAAGCTGCACCGATCCACCTGTCAATCTCACGTTCCGTCCTTCCCTCACTCGTGAACAAGACCCCGAGATACTTGAACTCCTCCACTTGAGGCAAGTTTTTGTAGACTCACAGTAAATAAAACTTTAACTCAAGTAAGAATACTGTTACAATGTAAGAAAATGTCAATTTTTTGTAAAATTTTGTTAAAAAGTTAATCCAGTAAATGTAATGCTATATTACACCTCTGCTTATAATTGTGTTTACATTACAGAAATACACTATTATGATCAGGTCCTTGGTGTTCGTCTTCACCGGCCCATATAAAAGTGCCTGCACTCATCCACAGGGTCCCAGTACGCAGCCTGATCAATAATCGCTTTAGCGGAGGTCGGACCACTGCTTACATTGGCCAATTGACTCTGACTCGGTCGTCAAATATGTTCAGTCCAATCGATATGAATGCACCTCTAAGCAAAACAGTTTTATGGTAAATCATTGTTGCTCAATCATAAAGAGAAGAGCAGAGCAGCCATAAGGAACATACAATGTCATAAATGATCACAGACGTGCTGAGAGAACAATAACATGAGAGGTTTGAAATCACTTTGTATTCAAAGCAATAGAGCTACTTAAAGGCCCATATGACGTTCTTTTCTGATCTGTGTTAGAATATTGTTTCCTCATCAAAAACATACCTGGAGTTTATTAACACCTGGAGTTACATGGCACCTTTCATTCACTCAGTGGTGGTATACTTCTATTGTAGCCACAGCTGCCCTGGGACAGACTGACAGAAGCAAGGCTGCCAATCTTCTCCATCAGGTCCCTCCAACCATCACCAACATTCACACAAACATCACTTTCATACTGGGCAACGTGGGTGAAGTGTCTTGATAATGACAGTTTTTGTGACTGGCATCCCACTGTGGCACCTGATTTTCCGAGTGGTCTCCCATCCAAGTACTAACCAGGCCTAGCCTTGCTTAGCTTCTGAGATCTGACAAGATCAGCCTTTGACAAGCTGGTATGGCCACAAGGCTGTGTTTTGTTTCATTAACACATATTTAACACACAAATCCTGCATATTTAGGCTCTTCTCTCAAACAGAAAACACTCATTTGGAATTGCCAATTTCTGTGTATGTTTTTGATGAGGAAATAACATCATAACATAGATCAGAAAAGAGCATAATATGGGCCCTTTAAAATGGATAATTACACAGCCCTACTGACACAAGACATAAACGTTTCCATAAATCTTACCCAGTGTGTTGATCATGCAGATGCCACAGACGTCGAGCTTGAGCAGGGTGTGGTAGACTGGCTCTCCCCCCTCGTGGTTCATGAACAGGTGGTAGAGCACGGAGCCCAGCTGAGGGGACAGGCAGGCCAGGAAGTGCACCACACCCAGCCACGTCACTCCGATCTGGGACCAGGGGATGTTCAGAGGCAGCAGCACCAGGAAACAGACCAGAGGGATGCCTGGAGGAAGAAAGATGAGACAGGTTAGCTCATGTTATATCTATGAGTTATGAATTCCAAAGTGATGAAACGTTAGCACTGTTCCCATTAAGTTTTCCCATAGACTCAAAAAATTCAAATATCAGGAGTTAGGCTATATGTTAACTATATCCATAAATGTGTAAATGAGTGCCATATATCAGTCTAGAGTGAATCAGGTCAGTTGATTTAAGTCCACATTTAAAACAAACAAAAAAACTTTGCAATCTATGGCATTTCAGAAACAGATTTTAAATAAAGTATTGCTGCAGTTATAATTATAGCTGATTAGCCCTGAGCAAGCTTTTCAAACTTAACATTTTTGGTGAAAGTCTGTGGGAAAAATAAATGAGAAAAGTATTCCATCTGGAACTGGAGCAGACGGTCACTGTTGAGCTCTATTAAGATAATTCATGATAAAAAACAAAATTATTCTAAGCTCTTAATACTTTGGCTTTTTAGAATATCGCCTCCTGTGGTTTACAGTGAATCATTCTTCATGTCGATAAATGTGATTCTTGTAAAATCCAAATCTTTTTCCACAGTTTAAACCCTAAATGAGCCTTATCATAGTTACATCACAGGTCTGGAAAGACAGGTTTGAATAATTTACCTGCAGAGGATTAGACTGGCCTCGCCCGCTTGGACTCAATGGTGATTCGAGACACTTAGGGTGGTGCCAGGGACGGAGTGATAGTTTCATTTAACAAAAGGCTCATGTTTACATCTGGATAAGCTTTGTGGTTTAAGGTTCACAGAGCCACATGGTAGTTTACTTGCTTACTTATTTATTTGTAAAGGGACAGGACACATTAATGGACAGTTTAAGGTTCTATATTACGCAAAATTGACTCTTGTGAGCTTTAAACCGTGTTATAATGTTGTCACGTCATGAAAAACATATCTGGAGTTGTGTTTTGTTTCATTCACACATGTTTGAGTAACTCTAAGTCTGTCTGCATCTTCAAAGCTCAAAATGCTCATTTAACAGCAGCTTTTTACCTTTTGTTCAGTAGACATTGGCATCATAATATTGAAGGTGTGTGGAGTTAAAAAAACACAGTGGAGCACTTCCTGTTTTCTGTTTGAGAGAAGATCTCTTGTGTGTTAACCACGTGTGAATGAAACAAAACACAACTCCGGAATGTTTGTGATGAGGAAACAACATTATAACGTAGATCAGAAAATAGCGTAACATTAAAATATAAAAGATTATGACCAACGTGGCTAATTTTCATTTTCAGTCCCTCAGCACGTTGAGGTCAAACAAGTGCTGTCCCTTTGCAAATAAATAAAAAAAGCCTGAATGATTTGGAGAAAAATATGTAATTACAATTTTTCTGACAAACACTGTGATTGCGATTTGATTGGCTATTCATGTTTTAATAATAGGATTCAGTTAAAAGTTCACATTTTAACACGTCCACAAGAAATGACAAAAAGACTGAATTATGAACTGACAAACTACGGTAATACAAGAATCATATTTCAGAACATGTTTGTACATTCAAATTGTGATTTTGATTCGATTGTGATTAATTTTGCAACCCTACCACCCGGGGCTTGTACAAAGATAATTTTTACTTTTATATTCTAACACAAAATTAAACAATATTACCGTGAGTTGTTATTTTTTAATTAGACAAAGAACAATGGAACGTTTTCTAGTGCTGCCTGTCTCAGTGATTGCTTTACTTGGAATCTTCTTACCTAGTCCAGAACCTCTTTTATATATTATTTATACAGAGTTTGGTCACCATACTAGGAATGTTCCACAGTATGGCATTACACTCTCACATATTACAGAAAAAGTGTGCCATCTGAGTGTGCTATATGTATTTTTTTCATTTTTAAGTTGCTGCATTTGCACCTCTACAAGAACTTTGGTGTGTGCTTTCTGTTTCATTTGATCACACTTATCTCTGTCATTAATTTATTTTTTAGAAACATGGAACATTCCAGGCAAAGCACAAAGCTCCATGGAGACAAGAAAATGGCAAACCCTCCACCCTAAAAGTTACATAGTACATCTTTAACGCCAGATTTTGATCATAATGGTTGCGTAGTGTTACAAATGGATATGTGTCTTCATGTAACAGATAACCCTATGTCCTGTCAATCATCATATCATCTTTGCACTTACAACTTTCCTTACAACCTCTTGTATTTTGCTGATATATTTTATTACTTATTTCAATTTTATTTTGACTTGTACATATACATTTATATAATTACCAGTATGCCTTATTATGTGACACCAGTCTCTTGCTATTGTTGCAACTTATTTAGAATTGATTATTATCATGTATATGTATTTGTTCTCTTTGTTATCATGATATATTGTGATGAGTAGGGGTATGCAAAAATATCAAAATATCGATATATTGTATTGTATAATATGATGATACAGTATTGATATCGGTAACTGCTGTATCGATATATCGCCAACAGTATTTTTTGGTACATTTTACTAAATAATTTTGTTACAGAGCTACAGTTTTTTTGTTTGTTTAGTGAAAGGAAAGTCGTTTATGCAACACATTTGACATTTTCACTGTTTTGATGATTTAAATGTGTGTGTTTCATATTAACTTTGCACAAAAAGTGGTTTAACAAATACTTTTAGTATCGCAGCCATGATTTAGCCATTATTTTTATAGAATCGTATCAAATTGATTTGAAATATATCGTATTGAACCGATATGTATCAAGGTACGTATCACATCGGCAACTTCTTAATGATACCCACCTTTTGTGACGAGGTGTGAAGTGTGAGCTACTATGTCCTAATGATTTCCCTTGTGCATTAATAAAGTTTGTCTGAGTCTAAGTGTCATATGTCATCTGTAATGTTGTCGTTGTCTATTCTTTGTTGTTGTTTTTTTAATGGCTCATGGTGCTTTTTGCACATGTTTTTCAAGTGTGCTTTTAACTACAAATGGCAAATAAAATGAGACAAACTTTACTGGTCCACAAGGAAATTACTTTGACACAGTAGATCATGCATCACAGTATAGTATAATGACAAAAAGTAAAAATATAAATGGTAATGGAATAATAAATTCAAAATAAGTAGCAAAAATAGCAAATGGGGCTTAAATAAGGCACAACTATATAAAAGTATATGTACAAGGAAAGTAAAAAGAAATGTAGTAATATAAATACATTATATCACAGTTATATACAATAGGTCATAAAATCCAGCTCTAAAACAATAATTCCTTGTATCTAGAGGTCTAAAGTACAGGTTTGATATGGTTATGTAGTTGTGTGCAAAAAATACTATGTAAATTATTCAAATATAGACAACACATATCCTTATAGGGACCAATACTTTGCTTAACCTGTTGCAGTATACCACATATGAACAAGGTTACATAATTATAGATGACCTGCCTAGCAACACAAAGACAAGTATGCACTGCAGGCAGCATATAAAGGGAATCAAACCATCAACCCCCTGGTAAATGGGTCTATCTTCAGTGGAATAGTGTGCGAGCAGTTACGGGCTTAAACTGTGCTGAGTCCAGTGCAGACAACAGCAAGAAGTCAAGAAATGTCAAGACTCACTTCAGCCTCAGCTCTGACTGGACTGACACAGCCCCCAGTGGAGCCTGACTGCAGAGGGTCTCAAACTGGGGTGCAGGGCCTTATAATGGTGTTAGGGCTACAAAATATACGAAAAAAAAAAAATCTACGAAGACAAATTTGTATTGTGCTATGATATTATTGCAATTTTGAATGACACAATAAGCTTAGTAACGTTAAAACAATAATGTACTATTTTACTAGTCAAACGTGTCCAAATAAAAACATAAATCAAACCTAAAACATGGCAAAAATAGGACTTAAAAGACCTTGTACCCATTTTTGTATTTGAGCAAAGTTGGTCTTGCCCCATAGATATACTACATAAGCAGCTTTTGAGGTCAAAATACTGTATAAATGCAAGTTACAGCAAGATTTTAAAAAAGACAGGATATTTTGTTCTTTGTAGAGGACATAGTATCTAAATAACTGCACCCTTTGTGATTTGATAATTGTGCCAAGTCCCCAACTCAAATTGCGACTTTGATTTCAATATATTGTGGAGTCCTAATCACATGTTGCTTAGGAATAGACTCAATACAGATTCTGATACCATGATGATAATAAAAAACACTCTTTAATTAGTGATTTTCAATAAACAACTATGTGGTCTTATATGTGTGTACTCCCTCAGTGATCCAGGTAGGTTCCATAGTGGTCCATGGGCGTATACTAGTCTATGTGCTCTTATACTTGTTCTGATTCAGCGCAATATCCTTCTAAAACTACCCAAGTTCATTAATTTCTGTCCTGTGAATATAACTTTTTTAGTATCAATACAAGTTTTAGTGTCAATTATTATCTGATTTTCCATACTTTTCACAATATCCCTAATCACATTACCTCCAGTAGCACCACACCACCTTTCAATGTTGCTATGTTCACAAGGCTAATGCCAGGTGATCTTTACAGTGGGGTTTATTTTGGGAGCTGGACCCCTCCTCCTCCTCCTCCTCCTCCTCTTTTGGGTGCCAGGAGCTCCACTCACACAGGGCAGGGCAGGACACAGAGTTCCCCCCTAACTTCCTGAGCGCTGGAGGAGAGGAGAGGCAGCTTCCTGTGTGCCTGGGTCATTTGTGTTTATATGCAAAACGGCGCTAACCACAGGAGGAAGTTTACTGGGTTGCTACGGACGACAAGCTCAAACTTACAAAGGGTGCGTTCAAACTCGTCCTGGTTTAGTCCTGATGTAGATTTGTTTGCGCTTGTTTCGTTCCTGGTTGAGTCTGGGTCTGGTCCAAGATTAGTTCCAGTATAGTCCCAGTTTTGATGTGAGTGTGTGCAAGTTAGGGATCTCAAAATCTCGAAATCATGTAACTGGTACAAAAAAACCCAAAAAAAACAAGTCACATTCAAAGGAGAGAACTTAAGCTTTTCTGAAGGTCTTTAGAATT